AGCTCAGCCCCTGCAGACTCCGATCCAGCCAGCAGGCCTTGCCTGGTGGAAACACCAAGGACAGCTGGTGGGTCCCGTCCAGGAGCCCCCCCCAAAGAAGCCCCCCAAACCCTGTCACCCACAGCATCTCCACTCCACTTCCTGCTGACACTGAGGCCAGCAGGTGCCACTTAGGCCTGCAGCCCACGAGGCCGGCCTTGTCCGCCTCATGCAGGCAGGCCCCCGACCCCCGCCCCGCCCCGGGCCCCCGCTTCTCCTGGCTCCACCCTGCCCCCTGCTGGCAGGACCCCAGCCGCCGCGGCTGGGCCCTGGCTCCTCAAACATGGGGAACATGCAGGAGAGGGCAGATCTGGGGGGACACACCTGGGGGGTCACACCTGGAGATTTATGAACCTTATTTCTCAGGGTAGCAAAGTCGTCCAGAAACAGATGTGTCCTCATTCAGGTGAAAGGGCCAAACCCGGTGGCTTTCAGGAGGACAGAGGGACCAGAGAGAGGGGTGCAGCGGCCTCTGTTTCTCGGGGCGGGGTGGAGGGGCCTGGGGTACGAGGCAGCCGCGGGCCCGGAGCATGGAACGGAGACTGCGCCCCACTCCAAGCGGCGGTGGCGCCCACGCAGCTCATCCCCCAGCGGGGTGGGGGGCAGCGGAGTTGCCCTTGGACTCCCAGGGCAGAAGAGGCCTGCCGGGAGTGGGGGGTGGGGGTGCTGTCGCTTCTCTCCTGGGGCCCAGCGTGTGGCCCCGGGCCACCAGGAGGCTCTGAGAGCCAGCACCGAGGCGGCAGCCAGCTTCCACAATGCAGTGAGCGGAAGACGTGTCCACGAGGTGTGGTGCTGGCAGAGGGACCGGCCCGGGGGCTCCCCGCCCTGCCCCACGCCAGGCACTTGGGGTGGGCCCCCTCCAACCGTTAGCTGCCGAGCCCGGCCAAGACCCATTTGTCGGGGCTGACAAGCACAGCACTTGGACAGGGGACTTCACAGGCAGGGGGCACAGCGCAGACCAGCTGTGGCGGTGCAGGTGCATGGAACACGCGTGCGCTGGATGAACACAGGCTCCCTCGAGGAGGCGAGGGAGGCGGAGCCGGGGGGCGGGGGCAGAGGGCAAAGCGCCACAGACGCCTCCAGCCACCTCCCAAAAAGAGGAAGGGGGAGAGAGAGAGTCTCACTTCTTCCCCGTCACACCCAAGGGGCCAGCGCGGCTGGACATGGGGTGCGGGGCTGTGTCGGCCCCGCTCCAGGCCTGAGGGGGCCGCCCGGGTCCCCACGGCGGGTGTGACGTCAGCGGCAGACGCCCTTGGTCGGGCGAGGAAGGTCCCTCCTGCTCCTACGCTGAGGAGACGGTCGCTGCTATTCGGTGTTGCAGGGGTCCAATACTTTATCATTGATTTATCAGTGTTTCTCCTGAAGTGGCATTACATACACAGCTTTATGTAAAACGGATGAACTTTCCATGGCCAGGTGGCTCTGTTGGAGCGTTGCCCCGTACACCAAAAAGGTTATGGGTTTGCTCCCCGCTCAGGGCACAGCCCTAGGCTGTGGGTTCGATCCCTGGTCAGGGCGCAGCCAGCCGACTTCCTCTCACATTGATGTCTCTCTCCCCCCACCCCAAATCAATCAACAAATATGTCCTCGGGTGAGGATTCAAAATATATCTCTACATATGCACACATATGCCAACTGTACAACATTCTATTTCTATTTTCTCTTTCTGTCTATTGTACTTTTATCATGTTACAGTATTTTATTTTTACATAGGGTATAAGGTCCATAATGCAGAGTCCTTACCTTTGCTTTAAATAGTCTATTATCTTTAAAATTTTTTAAACACATAGGAGAAAAGCCCCGCACTCGTCCACGTTTACCATTCCCAGTGGGCTCCTCTCCGCTGCGCGGAGCTGAATCTACCCCCTGCATCATTTGCTTTGGGCCCCAACGCCATGCGCACGCATTGCTCGCTGTGCGGGTCGGTGGGCGGTGCGTTGTCCTTGAACGTCTGCACCTCCGTCTCTCTCCCGAAGGTGCTTTCCCTGGAAGGGACGCCTGGATCGACAGGTTTGCTCCCTCAAAGGTGAGCCCCTGTCCCTGCCGCCCCAGCGGCGGCCCGGACCGACGGTGGGGCGGCTTCCTCTCCACTCAGGCTGCTCTGGGGCCTGTGAGGCTCTTGGATCTGTGAGCTTGAGGTCTGGTCTTGTTCTGTTTTTTAAATCGCATTTGGAAAATTGGGGCCGTTATTCTGTGGAACGAATATGCCTCCCACCCGCTTCTGGCCGCCCACTTCACAGACAGCGGGGCTGGTTGGCCTCGTCTCTCAGGCCCGCAAGGCTCTGCCCAGTTTTGCCAGGCTTGCTCCTGTGCTCAGGCCGCCCCAGCTGCTTCCCGCCTGCAGCCTGGGCCTTCTGGGTGCAGCACCCGCAATGGCCTCTGGAGGGCAGCAGCTGCCCGCCTTTCCTGGAGCTGCCGGAAAGCAGCCAGGCCACCGGGGGGGCCACAGACCCAGGACACCACCCACAGGTGTCAGCCCTTAGCCCCATACCTGACACACAAGCAGAGGGGACTGCGGCTTACGAGGCCCCTCCCTGTGGCCGGCCGGCCCTGGTTCTGCCCTGCCTGACTCGCAGGCGGCGGGGCCCAGCTGCCAAGCAGGCATAGGGGCGCTGAAGCAGGCAGGCAGGCGGGGGCCAGGCCACCGGTGGGCCAGGCGGGGCTGCCCTTCGGATCGTGACGCCCTGGAGTGTGCCGGCCGGCTGCAGGAGCCTGCGGCAGCCCCTTGCCCGGCACAGGGCGGCCAGCTCGGGAGGCGGGAGCGCGGGGGAGGCGGGCGGGCTGGAAGGCCTGGCACCTCAGAGCCAAGTCTGGGATCTCAGGGCATGTCAGGAGTCACCAGGCCCTGGCCAGGCGCCAGCGGCCACGGGGCCCTGGGCTCGGTGCCGTGGAAGGGACACGGGTGAGCGCCCCGCGGGAAGAGGCTGTATTAACAGAGATATTGCGTCTGGACGGAAGGAGGTGTGTGTTCCCCCTCCCCCTGCCCTGGTGGGATGCTGGGTTCGTGCTGAAGACCACGTTCTGAAGGGGGTTTGGCAATCTGGTGAGGGGACACAAGTCACCTTGTGTCATCTCAAGACTAAGAATGTGATAGGTAACAGGGGACAAGGGAATCGTCTGTGTTGGAAGTATCCGAGCAGAGGCAGGAGATCAGCTTCCTCGGCCGGGGATACGCAGGGCGTCTGTCTCGGCCACGCCACCCGCCCTCCCCTCGGCCACCTGCCGGAGGGTCCTTTCCAGCAGAGCTGGCCACCTTGTCCCTCTGCGTGGACCCGAGCAGCTCCCTGCGACTCTCAGGATAAGACTCCCCGTGCCCCGCCGCCAAGGTCTGTCCTGGTCCCCGTTGCGACCTGTCCTGCTCCCTCCACCCCCCGTCCCAGAGCCAGCCAGGCCGCGCCCACGCCCACCCGGGCCCTCTGCGCCCAGCGGCCCCGCCTCGGACGCTCCCCCCGCGGCCTGCTCCCCCTGCGGGTCTCCAGTGCAGTAGCCCTGTCCAGGGCCACGGGTGCTGGTGCTCCCGCCCCATCCCGCACACACTGTGACAGCCGTACAGAGTGTGGTCCCCTCCCTCGCGGCCCTCCCGCGGCTGTGACTCCCCACCTGTCCGTCCCCGGCTGGAGCGAGCTCCATGAGGACAGGGACCTCGGCGGCTTTGCCCACGGCCGCCTCCCTGACACCCCGCTCGGCTGCCAGCCCACAGGCGAGCGGGAGGGGAGGGGGCCGGCTGGAGGCGGGCTGTGGGTCCGCCCTGAGAAGGGCACGGGGTGTCGGCAGAAGGGGGGCCACGCGATGCAGCCCCCAGCGGGTCGCGCTGCCACAGCAAACACTCCCAGGGGTCCAGGGCTCTCAACAGCGGGGGCGGCCCCCTTCCCTGGGCCTTCTCGTTCTGGAAGTCGGGTGGGCTCTCCCTGGGGCAGGGGGCAGCCGCCCAGGCTGAGCGTGGGCAAGGGGGGTGGGCTTCCCCCTTGGTGGGGAAGGTGGGGCCCTGTCCTCAGTGGAGGAGGCCGCTGGAGCCACAGGCTGTCCCTGAGCGGAGGTGCCCGTGAGCACGCTCCGCAGCTGCCCCCAGGCTGGCGTGGGGCTGGGTTGAGGGTGGCGGGTGGCGCCGAGCAGGCGGCGTGGCCAGGAGGGCCCAAGCTCAGGTGGAAGCCGCCCCTTCCCAGCCCCCAGCCCCCAGCCCCCAGCCCCGCTGCAGCCCCCACTGGGGGCTGTCAGAGCCTCCACACCGGTGGACCGTCCGGGCCGAGGCCTGGAAAGGCCGGGCCAGGAGACCAGCTCGGCCTGAGCAGGCTAGCAGGTGCCTTTCCTTCCAGGCCTCAGGGGCCTCACCCGTAAACTAGGAGTGGTCAGTAAGCTGACCCCCCTCCTGAGGCGGTCAGGGTGCTTTGTGTCTCTGGGCTGCCCAATGGGCTGCCCTGTGGCCACCACCCTTCAGAGAATCCAGAAGGCGGGGTCCCTTCTGCAGCCGCAGAGCAAAGGCAGATTCTGCCTAGGGCTGAGGAGCTCCTGGGGGGCCGCCTGGAGGAGGGGGCCGCGGAGCCGTGCCTGTGCCGGGCGGCAAGCCTGACCTCAGGGCTCCAAGGCAGGCGGTGACGCCCGGAGGCGGTGGCAGGGGGCGGGGACTGGAAGGGCGGGGTGGGCGGTCCCCGGACAAGCCGGCCAGCGGCCCGGACTCCAGCGGCGCGAGCCGGGCGGGACGCAGGTCACGTGAACGGCCGGCCAGGTGGGGGCGGGGACGCAGGAGGCGCGCCCAGGTGCGTCCAATCGCCCCGCCCACCGGCTTTCGAAGCCGGAGGCGACAGCCTGCGCCCTCCCGCCGCGGTGCCCACCTGCCGCCCACCTGGCCGGGCCGCGCGCGCCGCCGGCTCCCGCGGGGCCGCACAGGAAGTGGGAGGGCGGGGACTGGGAGGGACCGCGCGGGGAGCTGGAGCTCGAGCGCTCCGGCCGCTGGCTGGGCGCGGAGCCTGCAAGCCGGACCGGCCCCGCCTCCGCCGCCCGCGCTCGGCGCTCGTCCCCGGTGGCGCAGGTAAGCCTGGCGGACAGGTGAGCCCGGGAGAGGACAGGTGAGCGACGTCGTGGGGGCTCCAGCCTCGGGAGGGGGCGGTCGCCCTGGGGGAGCCTCTCCTCCCCTTCGCTTTGGCCGACAGCCGCGTCCGGGGCCCGCGGGGGTCTGGCAGCCCTTCCCTCCGCGGGGCGGGCGGGCCGGGCTGCGGGAGGCGGCGGAGCCCGAGCTGGCCGCACCCAGAGCTCAGCCCGGGATTCACCCCCAGGCGTCCCAGTGCCGCCGCCGCCCCGCCCCTTGAGCTCCAGGGGGGCATCCGCGCCCCAGTCGGGCGCGCCCCTGCCCCGGGAGCCAGGAGTCGTCGGAGCGCGGAGCCTGAGGAAGCAAGCCCCGGGCCTTTGAAACTCAAAGCGGTCAGGCAAAACGGCCCTCTCGACAGCCCCGGGACCCTGCTGCCCAGTCCCGCTCTGGCCCCTGGAGTTGGCAGCCCCGGAGTGAGGGCCCCTCCGTCCCCACCACCCCCCGCCCGCCTGTGGAACCGGGGGTCACACCCCGCGCGGGAGGGGCTCGCGGGGAAGCCGCAGCCTCCGGAGCCTGTGCTGGGACGCGGACCTCGGGTTCTGCCGGGGTCTTTTTGAGCTCTGAGTGGACCTCAGCCCAGCACCTGCCGTGGGGCGTGGGGGGCACTGAGTGGCAGTGACTGTGACCTTGGACCCGACCCGGACCCTGGCCGGCCTTCCCTGTCCTGCCGGTGATGAGTGACTCCCCTCGGCCCCGGGGCTCCGGGGAGCTTGTCCGGCCTCCCAAGGCCCCGGGTTTCATGGCACCTGTGGTCCTGGCTGGGGCCCCAGGGAGGGCCCCTGACCCCGCACACCCGTGTTCCCAACAGCCCAGCGGCCTGGTGCCCAGTGGGGCCCCGCGTTCAAATCCCGGCTCTGTGTCAATAAGGCAAGTTCCTGAGCCCTCCGGGCCTCGGGTTCCTCGCCTATAAAACGGGAGGTGCGGGTGTGTCCACTCAGAGGCGCTGGCTGAGCCCTGGCTCCGCGTGCGGCCCCTCCGGCGCCCACGGCCCCAGGAAGGCGTGGCCCTTGGCAGAGGCGGACGCAGGCACTGCCCAGGGCAGGGGCAGAGGCAAGGCCCCCCTGAGTCCTGGTGGAGGGAGTGGGGTCAGGCTGGGCTCCTGGGGGCTTCCTGGAAGAAGCGAGGTCTTGAGTTACCCGGAGGATGAAAGGGAGTGAGCCCCCACCCCCGGCCTTCCTGGTTCCCGGGGGTCCTCTCTGACCCCACAGGGGAGGCGCCGTTCGCCTGCCCGTGAGGAAACAGAGGCACAGGGGTGCAGCGGCTGCCGGGGGGCCCCTGGGTGTGGGAGAGTGATGGGCGCATCTGCTCACCTGCGTCTGGGTCCCAGGAGTTTAGTTTCGGTTTCAGGTGGACGTCAGCGGCTCTTTTCCGCCCGTGGCAGCTACATGCTCCGGCCGGTGTGAGGGCTCCTTTGCTCTAATGAGGCCCCCCGCGCCCATCGGGGCAATGACGTGGGTCAGGGCGGAGCCTGGCTCCCCCCAGCTCGGCGGCCCGGCGGCCCGACCCCCCGACCCCCACCGGCCCGACCCCCACCGGCCCGACCCCCACCGGCCGTGTTTCCCCGGCCTCTGGTCCTGGCCCCGCAGAGAGGGGCGTGCCCCTCCTGGAAGTTTGGGGAGAAGGCGTGTGGAGGGCGCCTGGGGGGCCATCCACCTCCCTGCCGGGGTCAGGACTCTGGTTTCCTGCCTGGGGCTCCTGTGGGGAGACATGGGTCCCCACCAAGCCCAGGGCAGGAGCTGGGTTATGGGATGTCTGGGTGCAGAGTCGGGCTGGGCGGGTCCTGCGGGCGCAGGCGGCAGCGTGTCCGTGGCTCTGTGTGATGGCTGCCCCCCCCACCAGCTGTTGCAGGAAGGAGGCAGTGAGGGGCTGGGCCACCAGGCGCCTGCCGCCCCTCCACGCTGCCAGGCGGCCTCCAAGGCTGGGCGTGGCCTGGCAGGTCTCCCCTGTCCCCACTAGGAAGGGTGGCTGTCTGGTCCGCTAAGCACAGGTCTCTCCACCCCAGCACTGTGGACGTTTGTTCCAGGTCATTCCTTGCTGTGGAGCCGTCCCGTGCGCTGTGAGGTTCTCAGAGGCAGCCCTGGCTCTCCTTCCCTCCAGGGGACCAGGGCTATGCCCTGGTTGTGACCCCCGGGAGTACCCCCTGGGACAAAGCTGCCCCCAGGGAGAGCTCCCAGGCCGCTCCAGCCACCTGGCAAACGCAGCTGTCTGTGTGAGCGTCACAGTTCACAAAGTCAAGCCCTGCCCCCTGGTCCGTGCGACTCCCAGTCCCCGGCCGGCTGGGCAGAGTTACCTGAGCACAGGGCCGTCGCTGTGGCCAGGCTCGCCCGAGCGCAGACCTGGGCCCTGCGGACGGTGCCCGGAGGTTGGGCCGCGCAAGGACCCAGAGGGTGGGGCAGAAGGGGCAGAGACGTCCCCGGGAGGGAGGTCATGTGGTGTCCTGTCCAGCGGGTGGCACGTCGCAACTGCGGTGTGGTTTGGGTCCAGGGCACGGAGCCTGCTGGGGTCCTGGGAAGCCTATCTGTTGGGGCGGGGGAGCGGCGGGGCTGGTGCCGCGGGGCGCACGGTTGGGGGGGCATGCAGCTCACGCCTGGCCAGGCTGGGTCGGGGCCCCTGAGCGGCGGGAGGCCGTCCAGAGTCCTCTCCAACAGCCCCGCTGCCCGGCCCTCACCCCTCCCTCCCAAGCCCCTCGTGTCCCTGGCCCTCCCAAATGTGTTCCAGGGACACAGGACAGGCTGGCGAGGGGCGAAGGGGAAGCAGAATGGCGTGGGCACCATCGTTGGGGACCCTTTGCAGCCTACCCTAAGCAGCAACACAGGAAGTCACCCAGCGTCCCCCAAAACGGGGGACAGATGACCTTGAGCCTCTGTGACACAGCTCTGGGGTCTGCCGGCGCGAAGCCAAGGGCCCGTGGGGGCCGGTCCTCAGCCCAGCCCCTGGTCCGGGGATGGGACACGGCAAGTGCTGTGACACCCGCGTTCCCCTGTCAGTTTGGGCATTCACCCAACTTTGGGGACAGGAACAGGACACTGTCCCTGCACCTGAAGGACCCACGGGCTTGCAGGGGCAACAGACAGGTGCAGCCCTCGCCGTCGGGGCCTCTGCAGGAGCCGTCGGGCTCCTGGGCTGGAGCAGACCCAGCTCTGCGGCCTGAGAGGCCGCCCCAGGGCCGCCGGCCCCCCCAGCAGCTGCCGCCCGGGCGGCGGGGCTGGCACGCGTCCCCAGGACCGCTGAAGGGCCTGCGCTGCCGGCCCCTGCGCTGTGCTGGCTCCCAGACACCCGAGCAGGCCAGCGTCCGGGGGTCACGCGTGTGGTCGTGTGCGCAAGTGCACCAGGCACGTGGGCCTCCCAGCATGTGTCTGCCTCATGAAAAGAAGCAGACAGACACCAGGCCCAGCGGAGGCCAAGCACAGCCTGGGACCTGAGAGCGGGGCCCCCGGAAGCCGAGAGGGGAGGAGTCGGGCTGCAGAGGGAAGGACACGAGTTGGTCGTTGACAGCAGACGGGGCGTCCACAGAGCGAGAGCGGGGGCAGAGGGGACAGGGAAGACGGCCGTGCGTTGGGCGGGAGCCAGAGCAGAGATGATGTGAAGGGGTCCCCGCAAAAGAAGGCGGGCAGGGGGAAGCAGGGGAAAGAGGTGCGAACTCGGAGACGGTCTCAGAGGTTCACGCTCGTCGGGGGGCGTTCCAGAAACAGCAGAGGAAAGGCAGGTGTGAGGGCCCAGCGCGGAGGGCGCGCTGGCGTCACCTGGGCCCAGAGACACGTATCGGGAGGACTCCCGGGCACGTGACCCAGGCAGCGACCGTGGATCCGTCCCATGGCGCGCGTCCCCATGAGCCTCAGAGCTGGGGGCCACGTGGGCCAGGGAGAGCCCCCTTCGAGTCTAATCCAAGGAGGCGAAATGGTGGCCACCTCAGTCGAAGATCAACCCCTGGGGACGCCGCCTCCGAAGGAGCCGGGCAGGGCTGTGCCGGACGGGAGCTGCAGGGAGGACGTTCCAGACAGTCGAGCTTCAGCCCCAGAGCAGGAAGCAGGGCCCGGGGTCGAGGACAGGGTCTCTGGGGACACGCAGGGAAGATGCGTTGACAGTGTGGGACATGTGACTGAGACACCGGGCCGGAGCCAGGAAGGCATGGGAGAGAGTAACAGGAAGCCAGCGGCTGGTCAGCCAGAGGTGAACGGGGAGGCGGGCCTGGGGCCCTGGTCCCACAGGCTGACCGGATCCCCACGGGCATCACCATGGGGGGCCGGAGAAGGGTGGGGGACCCCCTCCGTGAGGAGACCTCCAAAGAGCAGGCTGTGCCTTCGTTAGAAATCAGGGAAAATGCAACAGCCCCTGGTGGTGGCCTGCAGGGGACAGGGCGGCGGAGGAGGGGACGCCTGTCTTTGATGGGGAGCCTTCTGGTGCTGTGTGGCTTTTGAGCCGGAGCCCAGGTGGTGCTGGGACAAGCGAAGCGTGGAAGGAGGGAGATGCAGCGCGAGCCCGGAGCTCCCGCAGGCCCAGTCCAGTGCTGGCCGGAGGCATCAGGCCTGGGGGTTGGGCGGCCTTGCTGGGCAGGGAGGCGGCACCCTGCAATGGCTCGCCCGACTGGTTCCATCCGGGCACTTCCTCCCTGAGCAGACTTTGCCCTCTCCGGGGAGAGGCCGCGCGGTCCGGCGGCTCAGGGCAAGGAGTCCGGAAGAGGGCAGGAGGGTGGAGGGGACAGGGCTGGCGGGGGCTCTGTGGACCCTTGGGGACACAGCCCAGTGCCCACGCTTCGTAACGATGTGAGCGCGTCACGGGTAAAGGAAAGGCCTCCCGCACTTTGGAGGCCTTGGGCTGCCCATGTGGGTGCATTTTGCTCGGGGGGCTTGCTTACAGGTCGAAGCCTGCCCCCCATTCCTTGGCCAGGCCTGGGTTACAGGCGGACGAGCTAACGCCGGGGTGGGGATCCGGGATGGCGCCCATCCGCCCAGCCCGGGGGAGGCTCCGTGTAGCTGCTGCCATCCTCTGCCCCGTGACTCAGAATGTCCCCAGGAATGTGTGGGCGGTCCTTCCGGCATGGGGGTGGCCAGGGATTCCGGGGCGGGGGCAGGGAGGCGCAGCCCTGCCTCCTTGCTGGATGCTTTGGTGGAGAACTTGGGTGCTGAGCGGGACAGAGAGCCAGGCCCCCGGGTGCCCGCACAGGGTCCGTCTGCCATGGGCGAGGCCAGCCCCGTGGGGCCAGTTCTGCCCCGACAGGCTCCTGGGCGGAAGCTCAGGGCTTCCCGGGGAAGCTCCCGTACCCAACTGGGCAGCGAGTCCGTGAGGTGGGCTTGGCCGGGCCCCGCCTGGCGGAGGTGGTGCCAACGGGCAGAGAGGCCAGTTCCGGCCCAGGCCGGGAGCCCAGGACCCAAAAACCCCGCACTCACAACCCCGGCTCAGGAGCTTGTCCTCAGTGTGCGCAGCCCAGCAGAGGAAGCGCGGGGGCCTCTCGGGTCCTCTCCCCGGTCCCCACAGGCCCGAGACGGAGCCCTCCCTGTGTACCCCCAGCCGGCTGCGCCCCAACCTCCCAGGGCAGGCCCGGGTACTGTGGCCGTGCGGCAGGCAGCTCTGTTCTGGGCCCTCACCTTTGCCCTGTCCCCCCAGGACCCTGCGGCTTCCCAGCATGTCCCAGCGGCACTCGGACAGCTCCTTGGAAGAAAGGCTGCTGGGAGCCCGCTTCCACTCAGAGCTGCAGCTCGATGACCAGGGCAACCCTGCGTCCAGGCTCCCGATGGTCCGGGGCCCCCTGGGCCCTCTGTGGGCCAGGAGCAATGCCACCTTCGCTCCCGACGGCCTGGGACCCCGGCCTTCGTCCCCCAAGGACAGGGATCTGCGGACTGTCGTCCTGAGCACAGATAGCCCCGCGGCCCTCAAGATGGGCACCGAGCAGCTGATCCCCAGGAGCTTGGCCGTGTCCAGCAAGGCCAAGACCCCGGCCCGCCACCAGAGCTTCGGGGCTGCCGTGCTCAGCAAGGAGGCCGCCCGGCGGGACCCCCAGCTGCACACGGCCCCCAGCTTCTCCTTGGACGACATGGACCTGGACACAGGCCCCGGGGGGACGCTGGCACGGAACCTGCGCAGCCAGTCTTACCGAGCGGCCATGCGGGGCCTGAGGACACTGGGTGGCGAGGCAGACCCCGCCCGTCTCAGCCCCAAGCTCCAGGCCCTGGCCGAGGAGGCCGCCCAGCCCACTGCTCGGCAGCCGGCCAAAAATAAGGTAGGGCTCGGGCGCCCGGACAGCCGGAGGGGGGCACGCTCAGGGCCTCAGGAGCGCATAGGCGGGGAGGCCCGACCTCGGGCCCCGGAACTGCAGCTGCCGATCCGTGAGCACCTGCTGTGCGCAGGCGCCCGACCGTTCAATCCGTGAGACCCACGGGCCGGGCTCTGCGTGGCCTATGGACGTCCCCACGTTACAGGCGAGGTCACTAAAGCTGAGAAAGGTCCGAGGGTTTTCCCAGGACCCCGCACGGGGAATCCTGCTCTCAGAAGGGACCTGCCCCAAGGGGGCGCCAGCCCACCTCACGGGCAGGCTGCAGCAGCAGCTGGTCTGGGCCCGGAACCCGAGGGGCACCCACGGTCTGGGCGCGGGGGGGCGGGGGCAGCTCGCGGCTGCACCCCGCTCAGGAAGCATCGGACGCCTCCCCAGCCCCTGCCCCGCATGCACAGCCCCCTTTCCTGCCTGACGGCCGTGGCCCCAGTGTTCTCAGCCGAACAGGCACCCTCGTCCTGGGGCCTCCCCCGCCCCCGACAGCCCACTGAGCTGAGGGCCCCCGCCCCTGGCCCGGGAGGCGGGCCCTGCCGCCTGCCTGCGCCCCGAGCCCAGCATCCACCTCCGGCCCTCGCGCCCGCCAGGCCAGGGCCTGGCCTGAGGGGCCCTCGTTCATCCTGTTGATTCACAAGCTCAGTAAGCGCTTCCTGAGCGCCCAGCGGTTGGGCCCCAGGGGAGCTCCTGGGCGGGGGCGGGGGGGGGCGGGGGGGGAGCGCCAAGGGCGGAGTCGGGGTGCGCGGGGAGCCGGGTGCCGGTGGACAGGCTCCCCAGGAGCACAGGGCCAGGGCCCCACGAGAGGAGGATTAGGGCAGAGGCGTGGACCAGGGGGTGGTGCGGCTGAGGCCGAGGCCTGGGCCAGGCCCCGAGGCAGCAGGGGTGGGGCGCGGGGGCGTGGGGGGCCAGGTGCGGCTGGCGGCGCCACACGTTACAGACCAGCAAGGGGAGTTTTCAGGCCCCAACTCGCCAGGAGACGCCAGCCCCCGCTTTCCTGGAACGGGGCCCCTGCGAGGTCAGCTGGGGGCGGGGGGGTCCCAGCCAGAGTGAGCCTCTGGCGGGGCCAGGGGGCGGGGCCCCGAGAGCCCTGCCCGCCCACCCCCCACTCACCTCCACAGCCCTGCTGGCAGCTGCTGGGCCCCCCGACCTGGGTGCGCGCCCTCTCCTTACTGCCGCCTCGGACCACCCTCTCCAGTGTCCCTCCTTACCCGACCTGTCCTTCCTCGGACTTCCCCAAGTGGGACACCTCCCTCTGCTGAGCACCCGTTTTAACCGGTTCAGTCCTGCCTCCTCCTCCAGGCAGTCCTCCCCGATCTGCCCAGCCCACAGTCACCTGCCCTGCCGGCTCTGGGGGCATCCCGCCTTGCCCTGGCCCCCCCTCCGTGGCCCCACACCCCTCGGGGAGCCAGCCTCATAGAACGCCTTCCGTGCGCTCAGCAGGGCCCACGCCTGCCGGGCAGGACGTCCACAGGGGGCTGCGCGGTCTCTGAGCCCACACCTGCCCCTGCTCCCTGCTCATCTCACTGTGTGTCTCTCATTTGCACAGAAGACACTGGCGCGGAAACGTGCGCACAAAGGCTCCTTCAAGGACGGTGAGTGGCCGCAGGAGGTGACCGTGGTCTGGGTTGGGCCTGGGTGAGGCCGGTCTCCTGGGGCCGTCCCGGAGGAGTGGGGAGGGAGGGTCTGGGGTGGTGGCACAAAACCATGCTAGAGCGGATCTCTCCTGGGACCACAGGTCCTGGTGGCTGTTTGACTGTGTAGCTCTGGTGGGTGTAGAAAGGTCTAGAAGTTTCCCTGGGCCTCCTTTCTGCACTATCCCAGGAGCAGGGGACAGACAGAGCCCCCACACTCACCCCCGGGAGACGATTGTCCAGCACCTCGTGTGTGTGCGGCACACAGTAGCCAGGCTGGGGACCGAGGCCCCACGGCTGCAGGCCTGCCTGCTGCGTGCCCTGCGTGGGGTTGTCTCGGCCCACGGGGAGCCTGGTGCGGGGTGGGGGCTTGGGAGGGCCCAGAGCAGCGCCACCAGCCTGCCGAGGGGTCGAGTGCCAGCCGGACCCCCGGCGGGTGAGGGAAGCACTGCCCAGCAGGATGGAGCGCCCGGTGGGCTGGAGGCGTGTGGCCAGTGACCCCGGGGAGGGCTTGGGCCTCGGTGCCTGGGCTCTGGGGACACGGGGGCCCCAGCCAGGAGGGCCCCTCCCTCCCTGCCAGCCCCCGACCTCTGTGGACGGCCGCAGACCCGGGACTCCTGCCCAGGCCCCCCGGAGAGGCGTCAGGGGGTGTGGGGGTGTCGCTGTGAGGGCTCGAAGGTGCCCTCAGCCAGGGACCAGCCTGTCCCAGGGGGCGTGCGGTGAGGGAGCAGGGAAGTCGGGCTCTGGCCGGAGGGCGCTCGCCCCGGGCTGGGCATGGCCCCCGTGCCCCGCGCCGTGGCAGCAGGCCGGCCCTGGGAGCCTGCCCTGGGGACTCTGGCGCTCCCAGGCGCCTCGGGAGGATGCGGCCTCGGGCTTCCGGGGCACCAGGCCCGCAGGTGACGCGTCCCCTCCCCCCAGACCCCCGGTTCTACCAGGAGATCCGGGAGCGGGGCTTGAACACAGGCCAGGAGTCCGACGACGACCTGCTGGACGAGCCCTCCAGCCCTGGCGCCGCACGCAAGGCAGGCACCCCCATCGTGGTCAAGAACTTCCGGCCACCCCAGGTCACCTGGAGCCAGCTGCCGGAGGTGAGGGCCGGGCGTTGGGCAGAGGCCTGTCTCCCAGCCAGGGGTGCTCGGCCGGGAGGGGGCGCCCTCTACAGGCGCCCACCTGCACCTGCTCGCAGCCAGGCCCGCTGCCTGCGGCGCCAGGGGCTGTTGCCCGGGGCAGGAAGCGCTCAGGGGCGTGTGCCCCCCGTGCGTGCTCGACAGGTGTCCCACACGTGAGGCCTCTCGCTCCGACCTGCAGGGAGCTGTGTGCGCAGAGGGCCCCCGCCTGGGGGCCCTGTCCCTGGAAAGGACCGGGAGTGCCCGCATTAGGCGGCTGGGGGCCGCGCCTCAGCTCCCACAGAGCCCTGCGCCCCTGCCCGGCCCCCTCACACTCCGCACCGGCAGAGGAGCTGGTCGGTCCTCGCCCTGCAGGGACGGGGTGGCTCAACAGGGGGCACGGGCAGGGGCGGCGGCGGCCCCTCCCCCAGGAGGGCACAGTCAGCCTTGGGCAGCCCTCTGACCGCCTCTCCTGAGTGCCCGGGCACGGGGCTGGGCCGCCGGCTGCGGGCACAGTGGGCACTTGGTTCTCCCTGCGTCTGTGGCGCGAGGGGCCCTGAGTTTGCACCGAAGCGGGGTGCGGAGCCAGGGCGCAGTGGCGGCCCACCACGCTGCAGGCTGGGGGTGAGGGCAGACGGATGGAAAGTGGGGAACCCTAGTCCCACCTGCCGGCTCCGACTGCGTGCCCAGAGCTGGGTGAGCGTGGCCTCCCGGGTCAGGGTGACCCCAACCTCTGGGCGAGGGGATCGCCCCGGTCGGAGGGGGCAGGGTGGGGCTTGGCGCCCTGGGCGCAGGCTCTGGGCTCGGCCTCTGCCCAGCCCCGTGGGGGCGGGGGAAGTGAGGACGGGGCGGCCCTGTGTCCTGTGGAGGAGGCACACCCAGGCTCTGCAGGGACACGCAGTGTGCCGTGGCCGAGAGCCGTCCTCCACCCAGGGCGGCTGGAGGACCAGGGTGGGGGGTTGGGCAGGGCCCCGCGCTGGGACATTTGTCACCCCGAGCCTCCTGAGCAGGCGCTGATGCAGCTGGCCGGGGCGGGTGGGGGTCTGAGGCCGCTCCCCCAGCCTCTTCCTCGGCTGCCCAGGGCTCTTTGCAGGGGGTGGGTCCACCCAGGGGACGTTTTCATGGAGACGTGGGCAACAGAATCAAGTAGGGACAGGCCAGCTCAGCGGTCCCACTGCACACTGAGCCGTGGAAAGAGAGGTGCCCCGCCCCCACCCCCGCCCTGTCCAGCCTGGCAGGAAGGACTCCCAGGGCTGTGACCCCTGACCCCCCAGCTTGTGCCCCTGCAGGTGGTGGAGTCGGGCATCCTGGACACGCTGTCGGCCGACGAGCGCAAGAGGCAGGAGGTGAGCGGCCGGGCAGGGGCCGCAGCCCTGCGTCCCAGTCTCCGCGTGCGGGGACAGCGGCCAGAGCGATGCCGCGCACCCGCCCACCAGGCAGGGGGTGGCTACAGTGACCCGTTCTCCAGTGATGGTGGATGTCCTTGCCCCACGTCATAGCTCACAGGGGGTCGAGCCAGAGCGCAGACCCAGGCTCTGGGCCACGTCCCCACGCTGTGCTCTCATCGTGCCCAGTGCTGGTCCGGGGGCTCGAATCCCGCCCAGCCCCGCCCCCGCCCCCGCCACGTGCCCTGCGCCCTGCGCCCTGCGCTCTGCGCCCTGCGCCGGGCCCGGGCTGTGGCTGGCAGCGCTCTCTTCTCGCCCAGGCCATCTTCGAGATCCTCACGTCCGAGTTCTCCTACCAGCACAGCCTGGGCATCCTGGTGTCTGAGTTCCTGCAGTCCAGGGAGCTGCGGGCGACCATGACGCAGACCGAGCACCACCACCTCTTCTCCAACATCCTGGACGTCCGCAGCGCCAGCCAGCGGTGAGGCCCCGCCCAACCCGTGCGCCCGGGAGGCCGCCCCGCCCGCTGGCGTGGGACGGCGGCCGCGGGCCCTCGCCGTGTGGGGAGGCAAGGCTCCAGGCGTCTGCAGACGGATGTGTGGAGCAGAGGTCTGCTGGGACGGAGCGTGACAACCCTGCAGGCCCACAGGCCGGGGGACAGCTGAGCACCTGCGCTGTGGGTGTCCTGGGACAGCCCTGCGCCCTGTCCCTGGACGTTCGCGAGGCAGGACACCCGCCTTGCGCACGGCCCTGGCTGATGACAGGCACGTTCCCGCCAGGGCCCCCAGGCCCAGAGGCCCGAACAGCAAGGTGCGAGGTGCCCACAGGGCAGAGCCGTGGGAGGCGGCCGCGGGTGGCACCTGGGTCATGTTCCTGCCGCGGTGTCTGGTGCCGGCCCCGGGCTCTGGTTGCAGGGCAGGAGATGGGGGAGGGGCCGGGCATGTGTGTGTGCGGATGTGGGCACATATGTGGAGCAGCAGGTGTGTGCATACACACATGTACATGAATGTGCATCGCACGTGTGCCTGCATGTGGAGCAGCAGGTGTGTGCATACACACATGTACCTGAATGTGCATTGCATGTGTGCCTGCATGTGGAGCAGCAGGTGTGTGCATGCATGTACACAAATGTGCATTGTGAGTGTACATGCGTGTGGCAAAGTGGGGTTACCGCGGGGCAGGCACGATCTAGGTGTGCACTGTGGCCATTCACAGCGGTCTCCCCAGGAATTGGCAGCTTCGGGTCAGTGGCTCAGGGCTCTCCGACCTCCCAGCCCTTTCCCAGGACCCTCCAGAGCACCCACGGAGGCGCTGGCCAGCACGCCTACCTGGGCACGTGCGCGTCCCTGCGTCCAGGCACCCAGGGCCGCCACCCAGTCCTGACACGCTGTCCCCGCTGGCCTGGCTGCCCACCAGCTGTGGCTGTCAGACGTGCCCACTGAAAGGGACCGCAGTGTCCCACAGGCACAGGGTCACACTGGGGCCTGTGGGCGGGGCCTCAAGGACCCCCGCCCCTCCAGGCTGGGGCCTCGTCCGCCTCCCTGACGCCCTCACTGGCCTTGCCGGGACAGCCAGGGGCCCCAGACGGGTGGCCGGCCCGTTTTCCTCCCAGGTGGAGCCCTGGCCGCAGACCCCGGGCAGGGCGGGGCACAGGCCCCTGGGTGACCTCAGAACTGAGGGTCTGGGGCCTCCCCAACCCCCACGTCACCGTCCGCTACTGGCTTTCTCCCCTGGGAAGGAGAGCGGTAAGGGCTGGCTGCCCTCAGCTGGTCCCTCCCCAGTGAGGGGTGTGGGTCGCCCGAGGTGCCCCGTGTCGGGGCGGGGCAGGCCTGCGCTCTGGTACTCTGCCCCCTGCCGTCCGCCCTCCGCCCTCAGGGGGTCAGCCCGCTGCCTTATCTGCAGACAGGGCTGTCCCGGGCCGTCCAGGAGCCCAGCTCAGCAGGACTTTGAAAGAGACACTGGTACAGGTGTGGCCCCAGCCCAGGCACCAGGGAGGAGCTGCTCGGGGACAGCGCCCTTGGGGCGGGAGGCCCTCCGGCTGCTGTGGCAGGGCCCAGCCGTGGCGGTGGCGGCGACGGCCCTGGGAACGGAACCCCAGGCTGCACCAGCCGGAGGTCGGCTCGCCTGACCCTCATCTCCCTGCGCCAGGCCCACGGAGGGGGACCCCGGCGGGAATTGGGGGCTAACGGTCACCTGCAGGGAGTCTGCCCAGAGGCCCCGCTCAGGGCTGGGCCCAGGTGCCGGGGCTCCAGGCAGATCCCAGCGGCTCTAACCCAAGGCAGCAAATCAGGTCAGAGTGATGCATTCTGTCCTGCTGTCACCTCCGTGATGTCACCAAAATCTTGCCAGAATCAGCAGGCGGGTGGCCTTGGATCTGGCCCGGGCCTGTGCCCGGTGATTGGACATCTAGAGAGGCCTCTGTCCTGGGTTTCCTGGGTCATGTCTCACAGGCCGTGCCCGGGGTGCGGGTGCGTGTACACATGTGCCCATGCGTGTGCGGCAGCGGCACCCAGACCCGCGGCCCTCGCCCGCCACAGGTTCTTCGAGGACCTTGAGCAGCGGCACAAGGAGCAGGTGTGCGTGGAGGACATCAGCGACATCCTGGAGGAGCACGCGGAGAGGCACTTCCAGCCCTACGTGGTCTACTGCTCCAACGAGGTCTACCAGCAGCGCGCCCTGCAGAAGCTGACGTGAGCGCGCGGGGCCAGGGCAGGGCAGGGCAGCGGGGCGGGTGCGCCGGGCGCTGGCTGGCCTCAGGGCGGCGCGGCCTGATCTCTGTGCGGCCGCCCTCCCCGCCCGCTCCCCTGCAGGAGCGGCAATGCCGCCTTCCGGGAAGTCCTCCGGGAGATCGAGCAGCGGCCCGCCTGCGGCGGCCTGCCCATGCTGTCCTTCCTCATCCTCCCCATGCAGAGGGTGACGCGGCTGCCGCTCCTGACGGACGTGAGTGCGCGGGCGGCCGCCTGAGCTGCCCGGGGCCCCGCCCTCTGCGCGCGGCTCCCCCCGCCCCGCTCCTGACCCCCGCCAGCGTCACAGGATAGTCGTGGGGACAGTTGTAAGGCGGCTTTAATAGCCACGGTGACGTGGTCCCAGCATCGTCGCTGGCCCCCGGGGGGGCGCTCTCTGCCAGGACATGGCCCGCGCTTTGTGGATCGCCCTTCACTTATGTAACAGTTCCTGTGGACACGTCTTAACCTGTGTCCCCCAGGCCCCTGCCGAGCGCTGGGCCTGGGCCACCGCTGCCACCTCCTAGCTCCCCAGCCAGGTGGCCCAGGCCCGGCGAGGGGCTCGGAGGGGCTCCCTCGAGCGGCCTGTGTCTCTGAGATGAGGAGGGGCGTGAGGGCGTGGTGCACACACGTGCACACGCGAGCACACATGTGGCAGGAGCCCGGCTGAGCTCCTGCAGGCAACATGTGGCCCTGTGCGAGGCAGGTCACCTGTCCAAGCCAGATGAGACATCAGACACTCTTGGCCTTTCTGGGGAGAGTAGAAATCACCTCCCTCCCAGCTGGAGGGAGGCGGCCGAGACCGGAAGGCCTGGGCTCCTGGGGGCTCGCTGCAGCCTCACCCAGCAGTGCTTTTCGGGGCTGCGTTCCCTGGGGGGCCTGGCAGGAGCCCCCACCTCCCTGCAGCACCCACACGGGCCTGGCGTTGGTGGGGGAGCCCTGCCCCCTGCGGGCCCCTAAGCCTGGGGTGCAGGCGGGTGGCTGGTACCTTTTCCCGTCTGGTGTCTCCTGCGCAGACGCTGTGCCTCAAGACCCAGGGCCACCCCGAGAGGTACAAGGCTGCTAGCCGCGCGTTGAAGGCCATCAGCAAGGTGAGAGGACCCGGCCCTCTCCCCGGTCCCCTCCTCTCCTCTCCCCACCGCGCCCCTCCCCACCCAGAGCCCCCGGGGGCCTGGCAGGAAGGTTCCCAGATGGTCCATCTCAGGCTTCTCATGGGACCAGTGGGGAAACGGAGGCCCAGAGAGTGTGGAACTTGCGCACAGCCGTGGAGCCCACGGCGAGGAGGGAGGACCAGGGCAGCCATGAACGGGGGCGGGGGCCTCGGGCTGGCCGGGCGGGGGCCGTAGCCCAGCCGCTCTGAGGGCGCGCCCTCTGCAGCTGGTGAGGCAGTGCAACGAGGGAGCCCACAAGATGGAGCGCACGGAGCAGATGTACATGCTGCACACGCAGCTGGACTTCGGCAAAGTCAAGGTAGGCGGCCAGCACCCCGGGGGGCCCTGCCGCGCCCCGCCTGCCCGGGCCTGTCGAGGCCCTCAGACCACCCTCCCCATGCGTGGAGACCCCACGGGGCGAGGGAGCGCTCAGTAGGTGTGCAGCCCCCCCGCAGGCGCCCGCTAAACAGCCCTTTGCTGGAGGCCGGGTCCTGTCGCACCCTGTCGCGCCCTGTCCCGCCCTGGGGACGGCCGGTCACCCAGTGCTGAAAGGCAGGGATGGGTCCCCACCGGGGGCCCCTGCCTGGGACTTGACCGTCGGTCTGCCCCCCAGTCCCTCCCGCTGATCTCTGCGTCCCGCTGGCTGCTGAAGCGCGGGGAGCTCTACGTGGTAGAAGAGGCTGGGCTTTTCCGGAAACTCGCCAGCCGGCCGACGTGCTACCTCTTCCTGTTCAACGACGTCCTCGTGATCACCAGGAAGAAGAGGTGGGCCGCGCCTGTGGGCATCCGGCTGCGTGGCCCTGCCGTGCACAGGGGGCGGCGGCCTGGCCTCCCACGAGGACACACATGCAGCTCTTGGGGGTGCTCAGTGCCCCCCGAGCCCGCACGTGACCCAGGGCGCTGGCTGTGCAGCACTGGCTTCCACCTGCTGACCTGGGCTGGCCCGCCCGCCCAGTCTCAGGGGCCCGGAAGCTGCGGCCTCTGTTCGCTGTTGGGGGGCCTGGGGGAGCAACTCCAGAGACCCCTCTGGCTGCCTGGCCCGGCCACGGTGGGGACCTGGGTGGACCTGGGAGCCCGGCCGCCCACAGACCCACCCCTTGCCCCCGTAGTGAGGACAGCTTCGTGGTCCAGGACTACGCCCAGGTGGACCACATCCAGGTCCAGAAGGTGGAACCCACGGAGCCCTCTCTGCCGGGGGGCGGCAACCGCGGCTCGTCCGTGCCCCACCCCTTCCAGGTGACCCTGCAGCACAACAGCGAGGGCCGCCAGGAGAGGATCCTGCTGTCCTCTGACTCCGCGTGAGTCCGGGAGGGCTCCCTGGTGGCGGGGGCGGGGGTGGCTCTGCGAGTAGTGCTGTGGGGACGGGAGTCCTGTCCCCCGTGTCCCTGCCCACTGATACGTGCCGGGCAGCACTGCACCGGGTGCCGGGGACCACCTTGTGCCCACAGTCCCAGGAGCAGGGCACACTGGCCATAAAATGAGCCGCGGAGGCATCCCGCGTGGCAGAGGGCTGGGGACGAAGGAAGAAACCAGGCAGGGAGGGAGCGCCTGTGATGGAGCCTCGCCCGTGAGGCTATGCTGGTTCCGGCAGAGGTGCAGCCGTGCAAAGGCCCTGGGGCGGGAGGCCCGGCCCGAGCAGCCAGGACAGCAGGGACCGGGGTCCCAGCACAGGGAGGTGCTGCCCTGAGGGAGCCCCGCAGCCTGTCCCGCGCCCCCCAGCTCAGCCCCCTGTCCGGGTGGGAAGCGGAGGCCTCACATGTCCAACGGCCAGCTCACAAGGGGCGGGGGGTGGGGCACAGAGTCCAGCGCCAGGAACTGGGGGCCTGGGCTCAGGGGTGTGGCTGCCACCTGACTCTGACCCCAGGCGGGTGTGACCCGGCCTAAGCCTACCCGCCGCTGCTCCGCGCGCTCTGCGATGTCCCCCGCCTCAGCCCCAGCGCTGTGGGCTGGGGGGCCCCGAGGGGGTGCCTGCGGACGACCCCAGGCTCCCCAACGTGTTCCCGGGCAGCCCGAGCCTCGTCACCACTGCCTGTCCCTCGGCGGGCTGCAGGGCAACACGGGGACACGAGGGGGGGCTGTGCGCCCCCATCTTCTCACCACGGCGCACTGGGGGTCCCTCAGCCGCAGGCCCTGCTCACGCCCTCTGTCCCCAGGAGTGACCGGGCCCGGTGGATCACGGCCCTGATGCACAGGGAGCGCCAGGGGCAGGGACCCGCCAACAAGGGAGGTGAGTGCGTCCCACGGGAACGGGGCTCGCGGCCCCTTTCCTGGCCCTGGCGGGTCCTGGGGGTTGGGTGCCAGCCCAGAAGGGGAGGGACCGTCCATTCCCATGTCCCCCCCACCGCCCGCCTCCCGGGGTGACCTGCCCAGTCACATGTGCCCCTTCCCTGCGGTGGGAAACCACGCTGCCATGCCCAAAAGCTGCTGGAAACTGAGACCCAAGAGCTGGGACATGTGGCCCAGAGATCTGTCCCTGCCCGGCCCTCCGGACGCCAGGAGCACTCTCTGCCTGAGCCGGGTGCTTTGACCCTGAAAGCATCCCTGTCCTGCCACCTATGGAGGGGTCTCCCTGCCCCCCATGTCAGCCAGCAGAAGGCTGCCCCGTGTCCCTGTGCTGGGGCTCCTGGGGCCCCTCAGGCCTCGCCCTAACGGGCCATGGAGGCTGTGTCAGGAGGCGGAGCCCCACCTGACTCCACGGGGGGCTGCAGAGCTCTCAGTGCCCCTCCCCCAAAGGACCAGCCCGTCGCTGACCCCCGCCTCTCCGTCCCCCAGACCTACTGCAGGTGGAGGCCACCAAGGCCTACTTGGCCAGGCAGGCGGATGAGATCTCGCTGCAGCAGGCAGACGTGGTGCTGATCCTGCAGCAGGAAGACGGTGAGCGTGTGGGGAAGGGGGCACCCCCGCAGGCTCTGGTACCTGCTCCCCCCACTGCCAGAGGGCGCTCCGCGTGCTCACAGAGCCCGACTCCAAGGCCCGGGCTGCGCCCTCCTCAGGGACATCCTCAGAGGTCCCCGCGTGGCGGGATCAAAAGCTCTGTGTCCTAAGCAGGAGGGGGTGGCCCTGTGGCTCCGGGCCCCCCGCCCTCCGGCAGGTGCCGGCAGGGGGCGGGCAGGGCTGGCTGGAGCGAGCTCGTGGGCCAGCGCCAGACTCGCCCCTGCACCTGACCTTCAGCAAGCGGCCTTGGCCGGCGGCGGTGGGGGCAGCTATTTGGGACGCCTGGCCCTGGCACCTTCTGGAACCGCGGCTCAGCGGGCGCCAGGGGCCAAGGGCGGGCCGCCCTCACCTGCCCACGTCTGGTTCAGGGTGGTTCTACGGCGAGAGGCTGCGGGACGGAGAGACGGGCTGGTTCCCCGAGGACTTTGCCCGGTGCATCACCAACCGCGTGGCCGTGGAGGGCAACGTGCGCAGGATGGAGCGTCTGCGGGTGGAGACAGACGTGTAGCCCACTCCGCCGGGGACCTCGCAAGGCGCTTCGGACCCCACTCCAGCCCGTGGGCCCGGCGGGCCTGTCTCAGGGCCCAAGCCGCCCTGGACCTCCCTGAGGACCCGTGGGCCGCGCCGATGGCTCCAGAGGCTTCCCGGGAGGAGGAGCACACTTGTCCCCACCCCCTGCGGAGCGTCCCCCAGGCCACGTCACGGGGGCCATGCCCTTCCTCTCCCCCGGCTGAGGCTGTGCACCCCCAACTGTGCCATGGGTGGCATGGCGGAAGGAGGCCCTGAGCACCGTGGGGGTGACGTGGGGTCGCCTCCCTCTCGCCCCATGTGAATGGGGAGGTCGCCGCGTGCCCAGGGCTGCGCCCCTTCCGAGAGTGGGGCTGGCCCTCTGCTTGTGACTTTGAGGTTTCCAGGGACTAATATTAAAGAGCTTCCATAACACCTGGGTTCCCACAGCAAACCTGCGTCCAGGCGAAGGCAGCCTGGGTCCCCAGGAAAGGACCGAGGTGCCATGGGCTCGGGGACTGGCCCTCAGTGTGGGCCAGTCACTCGTCCGGGTTCCCGTTCCTGGTCACTGCAGGCTCATCCTTGGCCCTCACCGGCCTGTCCAGCGGGAGTCCTGGGCAAGGCTGGTGGGTCTGGGGGCTCGAAGGCCACAGAGCCTGGGCGCCGCTCCAGAGGGGACATGCGGATGGATTTTCGGGGCGGTGGGGCCAGGAGTGGCCCGCCCTCCCAGCTGGCAATGCTGGGCCCTGGGGTGGGGGCTCCCCGCGTGCCCCCACTGGGCGTCAGCTTCCACATGAAAGCTGGAGCGACTCACCCCCCTTTCCCCGGGAGAGGGCAGTTGGGGGGCCACCTCTGCCTCTCAGCCCTGGGGTCAGCTGCAGGCACCAGGGGACAGGACTGGGCTGGGTGGAGGGGGCGGAGCGTCCCCTGGACCAGGGGGTGGCCGGGCTCAGCACCAGGAGGGAAGGCCGCTCCTCCCTGCTGATCGCCAAGGGGACCTCCAGGGCCCCACCGTGGCCCACGTCCGAGCCCAAGCTGGGCTGCCCCGGCAGGAGCTTCCCAAGATGCGGGGTGCGGGGGATGGGGCCAGGCCAGGGCTCAGGGAGGGGTGTGGGGGAGTCCAGCAGGGATCGGGCCCTCACTTCCTGGACAGGTGGAAACCTGGGCCCTCGACTTCCCTCCCTGTGAGCTGGGCTCACTCCCGGCTTTTCCTGGAGTGCTGTGGGGTCAGGGTGGGGGCAGTGGGGGGGCGCGACCTGGGTGTGCGCCTTCTGTAGGAGCGTTGTGGGTGAGCCCAGCGGCCCGTGGCCCCCCGCCCGTCCTCGCTGCTGGCCCCGAGCTCACGGAGGGGGGGGGGCCCAGAGCCCATCCTCTGCTGGGCGTGGTTGGGGTCAATGGAGCTTAGGTAGCCTTGGGCTGCCCCGAGGCCGCATCCGCAACTTCGTGACCTGGGGCGGGGACACAACCTCAGGCCTGCAAAGTGGGAGGGAGTGCCCTGTGCTCCAAAGGTCGCGGAGGCAGGTGCCCCCGGAGGCTGAGTGGGAGCAGGGGAGGGGACGGCCACTAGAGGCTGTTGGGGCGGCCGGGTCCACCCAGGGAGGGCCCGACCGGGCCAGTACAGGACGAGAAGCCAAGTGGGTTCCTCCCGAGTGGAGTCAGGCCCGTCCGCTGCACTGGCCACGCACCCCGCTCTCCCAGCTACAGGTGAGGAAACAGGCCCAAAGCCCCTGTCCCCACTGCTGGGGCGGCGGGTTTACCGGGAGCCATCGAGGCTTCCGAGCACAGCAGCCAATCCTGGCGAAGCCTGTGCCCGGCACAGTGACGTCCCAGCGCACCCGCCTGGGCCTCATGGCCTGGGCACCTGGCGGTGTCTTGTGGGGCGGGGCGTGGGGGCTGGCACCGGGGGCCCCCGGCTGGGCCCCGCCCCTCCCGCCGTCCTCGTGGACGGATGTGCTCTGAGGGCTGTGGGCTCCTGTCACCTCGCTCTTGCTCCTCATCCCAGCGCGGTCTCAGTCTCTGCTGCCTGGGGCCCCCCCACCCACCCCACACTCGGCTCCTGCTGCACCGCGTCTCCACCTGACACTGGTCTTCTGGGGACCTCGCCTCCCCTCTACCGCCCCCTGGTGGCGGGCAGGGCACTGCGCTGGGCCCTCAGGGATCCGGGCACAGGAGGCCTCAGGGCGTGCGCGGTGGGCCCCCCGCCCCATTCCCCAGGCCTCGGTCTCTCCGACTTTTGGCCCTTGGGAGTAGAACCCCACACCAGCGAGGCTGGGGTTGCAGATCCCTGCTCCCCCATCCATACCCTTGCTGGCCGTGGGGTGTCCATGGATTCCGCTCACTTCCCTGTCACCGCTCCTGACGGCAGCCCCTTCCGTGTCCCGAGGCGCTCCCCCAGCGGTCCCGGGTCTAGCCCGCTGCTGGGTCTCCGACAGACTGGATCCCGTCAGCCGTGAGGACGGGCTGGAGGGGGAGGGGCGTCCTCACCTGCCGGCTCCGTTAGGTCTGAACTCGGTGCAAGTTTCACAGATCTTTTGCCAGAAGGCTTCCCAGGTGTTCACCACCTGACACAGCACCTCACGTGGTTTCCCAGTTGGCGTGGCCAGGGCTGGAGAACAGCCAACACGTGTGGGCTTTTCCATTTGACACACCTGGATCACTGGGGGCGCACCTGGCCCAGCACTCGTGGGTTGTGCAGATGTGCCTGTCGGTCCTCCGGCTCCTCTGCAGTGAGAGCCACAGCCCATCCCCGGGCACCCGGGGCGGCGGGGGGACCCCTCCGCGGGCAGGTCCGCACCCCTCTCGCTTTTGGCCTCCCGAGCTCTGACGCCATGGCGGGGGGTGGGGGGGCAGGGGCATCGGGTTCCTGATTGTGAAGGGAATGTGTTCCCTGGTTCCAGGGCCCGCTGGGCCTGCCGAAGCAAGCGGAGCCCACGTCGCCCAGATGCTGCGCCCTGGCGGGGAAGGACCCCAGACACCAGGCTGCCCCCTCAGGGCCACGGAGACCCACGGTGGACAATGCGGGGGAGAGGGCAGGCCCAGCTGTGCGTGAGGCGGGCGGGGGGTGGGGCCCGGCCGTGTCGCGTGGACAGACTTGAGCCCGCCGGTTTCTCCACCTTGCCGTGGACGCCGGCACAGCCGCAGCCCCGTCCCGTCCCGTCCGGTCCCCGTCACATAGAGGCTAGACTCGGCCGAACGCTTCCCGCTGCTGCCGGGACGCCCCTCGGGGTCGTCTCCCCGAGACACCGGCGCATCTTCTGGCATCAAACTGCCCGGGCAGTCGGATCAAGTCCAACGCCCACTGAATAAACTTGGCGGCATTTTTAAAACACGTTCGCTTGAGGAGCTCCTATTTTGACTGGGATTTCTGTGTGCACAAAACGAGCCTGTGTCGCTCTTCTCTTGCACGCCCCCCCGCCAACCGTTTTAGCACAAAGCTCGCACTGGCCTTGTAAACTGAGTCGAGCTATTTTCCTCTGAAGTTTCTGGAATAATCGCAGTAGATAAGTTCACGGCGTCTTGAAAGTCGGCACCGCTGCCTACACCAGCGTGGTCCCAGGCTTTACGGGGGCAGGTACAGAGGAGGGAACTTTGATTGCTACTTGCATTTATTGAAGCTCTTCGTTATTCAGGTGTTTTATTTCTACCTGCCCCAATCCTGGCATTTTGTGCTTTCTCCCAAATAAATCCATTTTTCTGTTTTTAAAGTTATTGGTACCTAGTTGTTCATAATTTTTCTTTCTTTTTTTCTTTTAGATCGTGCTCTCTATTGTGTCTGTAGTTTTCTCCCTACATTTTTTGTCTTGCTTTTATATTTTAAAAAAATCAATAATCTCGCTAGAATTTTCTTTGTCTTCAAAGGAGTTTTGGTTTTGTTAAATGTTTTATTCTTCTTGCCAAGTGTAAAATTTGTATACATAAATATAAATGTGTACATTTACGTTCCTATGAATATAGGAATAAAAGCAAAAAATAATAGCATGTGTTAAACCTTATTCAAATTTCATCATTGCGCCCTGGCTGGTGTGGCTCAGTGGGTCAAGCACCAGCCTCTGAACCAAAGGGTCATCGGTTCGATTCCCAGTCAGGGCACGTGCCTGGGTTGCGGGCCAGGTCCCCAGTAGGGGGCGCATGAGAGGCAATGACACACTGATGCTTCCCTCTTTCCCTCTAAAAATAAAATCTTTTTTTTTTTAATTTCATCATTTCTTATATCTTTTTGCTTAACCTCTTGGTTTTTGTAGAGCACGTTAAAATCACCAGTTGTTTATTTCTACCTGTTATATCCTCATTGCTGTTGAATTCTGCGCCTGTACAGCTACGTGTGTGTGTGCACATACTTATATAGTCACACGATCCTTTTAAGCTCAAAATATTAAAAATCCTGCCCCAGTGGTTTTGGGGTTCACTGCGCACCCGTTTCCTTGCCTCTAGGCATGGCTTTTACTGTGAATGACAGTGGATAATGTTCGCTGCAGCCCAGGAACTGCTGTCCGGTCATTTGTGACCATTCACGCTGGGTCTGTCCATCTGCTTCCTCCTTTGTATGCTGTTTTTCCTCCTTCCCTGCCGTCCCGTGCAGAGACATTTCCTCCGTGTAGTTTGAAAGTTAAGTATCTTTCTTGCCCTGGCCTGGTGTGGCGCAGTGGATTGAGCACCGGCCTGCAAACCAAAGGGCCACCGGTTCGATTCCCAGTCAGGGCACATGCCTGCGTTGCGGGCCAGGTCCCCAGTAGGGGGCATGTGAGAGGCAACCAAGGCAACCACACATTGATGTTTCTCTCCCCCTCTTTCCCCCTTCCTTCCCCCTGTCTCTAAAAATAAATACATAATACCTTAAAAAAAAAGTGACACCTGTCTCATCACAACTTATCCACACTTACCGACATTTGTCCACGACGTCTCTCTCCCCCAAGCAGGAGCGAGCTGAGCACATGCCCCTCCCCCTCTCACTCCCTCTCAGGTGGGGCTGTCCGGAGCTTCTGTGATCAATTTACATGGATGTTTGATTCCCCTAATCCCTAGGTGGTTTGGAGGGTGTCCCCTTCCGCCCCGGTCCTTCCCCTTCTTGCCGGGAGCCTCCTCCCTGCGTGTCCAGGGCAGGTCCCCACGTGGGCACCCGCCCAGAGCAGTGTGGGCTTTGCTGTCCGGTGATAGTTCAGCAGGACAGAAAATTCAAGTTTCAGGTTTTTTTCTTTAGCCCTTTGAAAACACCCGTGTCTCTTCGCTTGGCGCGTTCCTGTGACCAAGTCACCCTGACTCCCGCTCTTCACCGCTGGGATCCTTGAAGCTCGTGGGATTGTGGGTTTTGAATGTTATTTCCCTGTGTGTTGGGCCCTTTCAGTCTGAGACCCCCCCCCTTTCAATCCGAGACCATGGTCATTGGCTTTGGCCATGGTTTTCTCTTTTTTCAATTAGACGGACGCCTACCCGCCCACCCGCCCGCCCTTCCACGTGCGTTTCTGTGAGCCTTCTTTGTGCTTTCCCTCCCTCGGCCTCCTGCGACCTGCTGGGGGCGCGCCCTGGGCTGGGAAACCCGCGAACCAGCTGTACCTGCTGCCCGCCCAGGCCCAGTGGCACGAGGGCCGCCTTAACCGCCTCCACCTGCCGCCCCTTACGCTTCCGGCTATTGGCCAGATTGACTTCTCAGCACGTGGCTCATTCCTTTGGCTTCCTCTGCTACCCCTCATTCATCACTTGTCTGTTGAAGGGGCAGGGTTTCCTAGAACCCTCTGTATTTTGCCCTGAGAGGTCCTTTGCCCTCCAGGCAGCTGTTGGAAGGGAAGGAACGGGGGCTACAGCTCAGACCCTCCGCGTCTGGTGTGATAATCGGGGTCCAACCCTCCCTAAGGGCCACGCGCCCCTTTGATGGTCTCTGCTCACCACTGTTCCCGGCCTGAGGTTTGGACAGGCAGGGGTAGGGGTGGGAAGGCGCCCCCATGCTCCCTCGCCCCACCCCCGCCTGGGGCCGGGCACCTCTCCGTCCCCAGGCTCTGGGGCCAGCTGCTGCCTGGGGCTCGGGCGGCTGAGAGCCGGTCCAGCAGGCCTGCCCACCTCCACCGCCGCAGCCCCTGCTGCCCCTGGAGAGCTCTGGGGAGCTGGGAAGCCGCGGCTCCACTTGTTGGCCCTCCCGTCACCGGGGGGGGGGGGGACCGGCGCAGCTCCCGTCCGTCCGAGGCAAGCATCCCCGCGCACCCGGGGGCGCGGCGGCAGGGCCCACCCCGAGAAGCACACGCACAGGCCTCGAGCAGCGGCTGCTCCTTTCTTAACTTACTGGGTTTCACAAAGTACCAGAGCCCACCACCCAGAGGCCCCTCGGGGCCCCGCAGTCCCCAGTCCGGACTTCCCGGGGCAGGCGGGCCACAGGCAGCCTTCCAGCACCCAGGGGGAGAGCGGGCGTGTCCGGCTGCCCATAAATACCATCCTATAAATACGGCTGGTGACACTTCCAGACGACAGGCGGGGCTGCACCAGTCCCAGGGCCTAGCACCAAAGAGCCGGCTCGGAGCCCGGGGGCCCACGGCCGCATCAGCACGCGCACCCGCCAGCAGTCCGCGCCCCTGGTGGGGGGGAGGGTGGGCCCCCCAGCACAGGCCGGCCCACGGGCCTGGGCTCCAGACTCCAGCAGCTTCCCCAGGCGGAGGCGCCCTCCTGGAGGCCGGACGATCCCTGCAGGTCCTTGTGGACGGAGAGGCTGCACGGCGGGTCCGCAGCCCTCAGAAGCGAGGCTGGGCCGCAGTCCTGGCCCACGGCGTGCCTCCTTGGAAGTCACCACGGCCCCTGCGTCCCCGGGGCGCGGCGCGCGGGAGGCGCTCCTCCCTGCCTGAGCTAGCGGTCCTCGGCCCTGCTGCGGGGACCCTGCGCTGGTCTGGGAGCGGCTGCCTGTGAGGCCGCTGTAGGGAAACGGGGCGGGAGGGTCAGCCCCAGGCGGGCGACGGGGCCACTTCACCCTTCCCCTCCAGCTCCCCGGCTCCCGCCGCGCCCCGCAGCCTCCCCTGGGCCGTCCTCTGAGGGTGGGAGCCCACGGAAGTGCCGGAGCCTCTTCCTCCCCTGGCCTTAGTCTACCGGTGGCATCCCAGTGACGCCAGTAAATGCCACCCTTACCTGGACTCGGGGCTGGGGACGGGACCCCAGGGAGCTGGGGGGGCCCACCTGAAAGCACACAGACAGCAACCATGTTAGCACCCCACTCCCGGGGGGACCCTGTGACGGGAAACCCAGGCCTGCAGGGGTCCCCCTCCCATGCAAGTGGCAGGGCCTCTCCCCCTCCCCAGTAAGCGCTCCCAGCCCTGCCTTGTGCAGACGCTGGGCCGGATGGCGGGCTTCGCTGCAGACCTAGCCAGGACCCCTACAAGGCAGGGCCCACCCACTGCAGCCCCTCTAAACGGCAAGGCTGTCCATGGCTGGTGGGGCCCATGTGCAGTGCCATGCCTGACCACCAGGTGCCGCCACAGCCAGCAATTCGTCCTGAGCAAGGGTGGGCAGGAAGGCAGTGCCGGCCTGCAGGGTTGGCCCCACCTTCCTGGCCCCGCCCCAAGTGGGAGGAGCCTGTCTGGGGCTGAGGGTGGTCGGGCCGCTTGGGGCCCCGCAGCAAGTCAAGCTCTGCTCCGAGGTCCCCTGGCTGTGAGGTTACACGTCTCTCATCAGAAGCCGGGGTCGGGTTGGGGCTGGGGGCCCAGGGTCCCTGTTCCTCTCTCGCCGAGGGCCTGGCTCACCTTGCCGGCACGTGGGCCCTGTGTAGCCATCCACACAGTGACACTGGCCGCTGATGGGGTCGCAGTCGGCCCCACCCCCGCAGTCACAGCGCAGGGCGCAGCCCGGCCCGAAGAAGCCCCCTCCGCAGCCTGCAGGGGGAGGGGCAGGAGAGGCAGGCTGAGCCCGGCTCCGTCAGACCCAGCCGGGCCAGCCCCTGCGCAAGGTCCCGCAGGGGAAAACCTCACGCCGGTTTCCCTGCCGCACGTGGGAAACACCAGGCGCCAAGCACCTGCCCAGAGCCACAGGCCCGAGGTCCTGCCCAGCCCCGGGGCCGGGGCAGAGGGGGCCTGGCTGCCAGGGACGCACCCCAGGGCGCGGCCGCTCCTACCCCGACCCCGCCCGTGGTGGCAGGTCGGGAAGGTCTCCTTCCCACTTCACGGGGACTCTTTCTGTGACCTCAGCCTCCACCCTGGGAACTCTGCGGGTGGCCTGAGGACAGGGCGTGGTCCGGACCACGGGAGCAGGAGCTCTGAGCTGCTGTCCCCCCCTTCCCCCGCACCCCGCAGAGGGGTAGGGACCGAAGGGCACGGAGCCCAGACCAGCGCACGGCACAGGTGGGGCTGGGCTGACGTCAGGAACACTTACACTGACAGACACCCACGCGTGTCCCCCCCACTGGGACCACAGACTCACCAAGGCCACAGGTGGCCCCCGTGCGCCCTGGGGGGCACAGGCAGCGGCCGGTGACAGGGTCGCAGCCTGCCCCGTGCTCGCAGTCACACCGCTGGTGGCAGCCCTCTCCGAACGAGCCCGGCGCACACCCTGAGGGGGCGGGGCGGGGCGGGGCGGTGGGGCCGGTCAGCGTCTGCTGCCCCACACCCGACTGCGCGGGGCTGGGGCTGGGGCCGGGACTGGGGCCGAGGGTGGGTTCGGAACACTCACCCCTCTCGCAAAACTGGCCGTGGAAGCCAGCGGGGCAGAGACACTGGCCGCTGACCGGGTGGCAGGGGGCTCCCTGTTGACACTTGCACACCCCCTGGCAGCCAGCCCCATGGAAGCCAGGGGGACAGGCTGGGGGAGGACGGGTTAGCACTCCTGCCTCAGTTTACCCGAGCGAGCAGAGGACTGGGTGCAGGGGCCTGGGTTCCCCCTCCCTCCCCCCAAGGCCTGGCTCCCCTGTCGCAGCAAGGGCCCGGGCTCCAATACGACCGCACCCTAATCGGAGGTCAGGCCCCCAAGAGCCCGGCTGAGCCCAGGCCCCCGACGTGGGCGGGGGGAGCGGACGCCGGGCCCGGGCCCGCACCCGCGACTCACAGTGCTCGCAGGCCTGGCCATAGAAGCCGGGGCCGCAGCGGCAGGCGCCCGTGCGGGGTTCACAGGTGCCATTGTGGTGGCAGGAGCACTCCAGGCGGCAGGCGGGCCCGTAACGCCCGGCGGGGCAGGCTGCAGAGAGTGACAGGTCAGCCTCCCGCCTCGGCGGTGCGGGGCTCAGGGGCGGCCCCCGGGGCGGCAGCTGGGCTCGCGGGGCCGGGAGCCCCGCCGGCCGGACACTCACGCAGCTCGCAGCGCGGCCCCGTCCAGCCCAGGCCACAGGAGCAGCTGCCGTCGGCCGGGCGGCACAGGCCCCGGTTTCTGCAGGAGCACACGTGCTCACAGCCGGCGCCAAACCGGTCCTGGGGGCAGTCTGCGGGCAGAAGCCGGGGGGCGCTGCTGGGGGCTCTGTCCTGGGGCTGGGCACGCACCGCGGCCCGTCCCCCCTGGGCCCGGCGTGCGTTCAGCAGCCACTCCCCAGCCCCTCCAGGGCCAGCCTCTGCACCCTGGGCGCGCAGGTGCAGGGGGCGGCGCCCACCGCGTGACACCCTGCCACCGCCCTTTCAGTCAGCACGGGACAGGCCTGACCCTGGGCCGAGGGCGACGCAAGGCAGGCAAGGGGCCAGGGCCCTCCAGGGGCTCTGAGCGCTGGCCCCACCGACAAGAGAGTCAGGGCAGCCTTCCTGGAGGAGGCAGCCCTGTGCACAGGTGCACCCCAAACGCCAGCGGCCCCTGCTCCTCTCTGATTGGCCCAAGGCTGTCATCCTCTGGGGTGAGGATGCGCCCTGGCTGGAGCTGGGTCCTGGGGCTCCTGACCCTTTGCTGCCTCTGGCTGAGAACCAGGGTGAGTCACCGGTCCTTCTGTGAGGACGAGAGGGCGGCGGGCGGCTCAGACGTGCCAGGGACCAGGGGAGGGGGCTACGGGCATGGAAGTGGGGACCTGCATGCCATTGTGAGCGTCAGCTCCGTGACCGATCCTGGGGTCACCCCATTTCGACACCAAGGCTTGCGCCCCAGGTCCCCCTCCACCGGGGCCCAGCCCCTCAGCCCAGCAGCAAGGTTGAAAGGACCCCACTCCAAGGGGACATCAGCCAGGAAGCTGGCGCTATCCTCGGACTAAACAGCCACCTGACACCTCCAGCTACGAGGCTAGAGGGACCCTGTGCAGCCCCCACTGGACACAGGGATGTGAACAGGTCACCTGACGGCCTGAGGGAGGGGCTGGGGTCAAGGGACAGCGTGGGCTGGTGTGGGATGGCCCGCGGACCCGCGCAGCACACTGCTGTCAACACCAGCAGGGGGCCCCGCTCATCCCCTGCAGCACTTGGCGGGGGGGGGGGGGGGGGCTCTGCAGAAGCCGCAGGGGTTAATGGGCCCAGGACCCCCGGCTCCGCCCCACGGCTGGGGGAGGGGCGCTTGGAGCACCCAGGCAGCTGCAAGCGGCACTCACCGTGCTCGCAGCTGACACCGGTCCTCCCCGGGGGGCAGGTGCAGTTGCCGGTCACGGGGTTGCAGGTGGCACCCTGTCCACAGCGGCATATGTTGGCGCAGCCAGGGCCGAAGCGGCCCTGGGGACAGGCTGCCGGGAGGAAGCGGGAGGGTGGCAGCCCTGGCCGGACCCCTTCTCTCCGCCGCGCGAGGACAGGCCGGGGCAGGGAGGGGTGCGCTGCGTCTGGTCCAGACAGGGCCGAGGCTGCCTGCTCTCCTGCCCCTGCAGCTCTGGCTCCTCCTGGCCCCGAAGGGTCTGCGGGGGCCCAGGGACTCACGGGGGCCCCCATCGCACCCCGCCAGCCCCCCAGAACCCCAGACGGTGGGAAGGCCTTGTCAGGGGAAGGCCCGTTCTCGACAGGGTGCCCGCTGGCCTCTGCGTGGAGGTGCACCTGACCCCCGCGCTGGGCCTGACCCGGGAGGGGCACAGAGCACTGCCTGCAGGGACCCCCCAGCCCCGCCCCGCCCGGGGCCGGCAGGAGGACTGGCGCGGTGGGTCAGCACGGGGCTGTCCTCCCCACAGATGGGGCGGGGGGGCGGCGCCCACCAAGGCGCAGGAAGGAGCCGCCCCCCCTTGGCACTCACTGAGGCCGCAGTCGGCCCCCAGGAACCCGGCGGGGCAGCGGCAGGCGCCCGTGGCCACGTCACAGGAGCCTCCGTTGAGACACCCACACAGCTGCTCACAACCGGACCCAAAGCGTCCGAGAGGGCACCCTGCAGGGGGAGAGGCCAGCTGCAGGGGCTGAGGGGCTGGGCCTGCCCCCCAACGCGGAGCCCCGGCCTCCCCTCCACCCCCGACACACGCAGGGCCCCCCCCACCACTGGGGCCGCCGAGCCGGCGGTCCAGGCAGCACTCACGTTGCTGGCAGCCGGCACCGTGGAAGCCGGCCGCACACACGCAGACGCCCGAGGCCGGGTGGCAGGCCTGGTTCTCGCTGGGGCACTGGCACTTCTGCCCACAGCTCTCCCCAAAGGTGCCAGGCGGGCAGGCTGGGGTGCAGGCTGGGGTCAGTCCCGGCCCGGCCCCGGAACGCGCGTCCTCCCAAGAGCTGCTCCCGTGCCCCGCCCGGCACACGGTCTCGAGGCCCCGCCCCCCGCCCAGGAGGACACGCGGCCTGAGCTGCCCACCACCTCGGGCCCACCCAGCGCGGTCACCCACCCTGTTCACAGCCAGGCCCGGTGAAGCCCGGGGGGCAGTGGCACTCCCCGGTGACGTGGTGGCAGGCGGCGTCCGGCGGGCACTGGCAGCGCCGGGCACAGGCCTCTCCAAACCAGCCCTGCGGGCAGGCTGCAGGGAGGCGCGGGCTGCAGTGGGGAGCCCAGCGGCCGGCGCCGGCCCAGGTGGCTCACGGGGTGAAAGACCCCCCCGGGTGCTGGCAGAGCTGGGGGCTCACCCGTGTCACACCGCAAGCCCCTCCATCCGGGGGGACAGAGGCAGGCCCCAGTGACGTGGTGGCAGGCGGCTCCCCGCCGGCAGGCGCAGCGCCCCTCACAGTGAGCCCCGAACGTACCCTCGGCGCAGGCTGCAGGGGGAGACGGCGAGAGGGCTGGGGCCGCCCGCCCCCCGCCCCGGCCTGGCTACGCGGGCCGAGGCCCTCCCACGGGGGACCCCGGGCAGCTCAAACAGCAGCCCCGCCCCCTGCAGGACTCCTGGCCGCCTCGCTGAGGACCTGCGCCTGCGGCGGGGCTGAGGCCACCCCCTGTTGGGCCAGCGGGGCCCCCGGGCCCCCCTGCACCGGCCCCCCGCCCGCCCCACTCACGGCTCTGACACTTGTCGCCCATCCAGCCGGCGGGGCACAGGCAGCTGCCCGTGTGCCGGTCGCAGAGGCCGCCGTGGAGGCATCTGCAGCTGTGCTGGCAGCCGGCTCCGAAGCGCCCCGGGAGGCACTCTGCAGGGGTGGGAAGGGGCGAGGGTCCCCCGTCCTGGGGCGGGGCTCCGGCCGGGGGACCCACCCAAAGCCTCGGATCCCGCGTCCCCAGGAAGGAGCGGTGCGAGGGCTCCGTACACGGTGGCCGCACCCAGGACACTGTCCCCGCCCCAAGCAGGGAGACGGCTTTGGCCACAGAGAGGGGGCGCTGCCGGGGGCCCAGCGGGATACCAGCCCCGGCTCCTACAGACCCACAGGGTCCCCCGTCCCTCCTCTGCCCGCCCAGGGCTCACCCTTCTCACAAGCCAGGCCGGCCCAGCCCTCGGGGCAGGTGCAGTGTCCTGAGACAGGGTCGCAGGTGCCTCCGTTCTGGCAGAGGCAGGCGAGCTGACAGCTCTCGCCGTACAGGCCCGCGGGGCAGGCTGGGGGAGAGAGGAGCGGCGTGCGGCACCCGCCCGCAGGCCCACGTGCTCACCAACCCAGCTGTGGGGGCTCGGCCCTGAAGGTGGCGCCCTGGGTCCTAGGCAGTCTCCGTCCTTCCCTCCCCCAGGTGCCAGGTGGCCCAGGCGCGCCGGGCAGGGCTTACCCTGCAGGCAGCTGGGGCCCGTCCAGCCAGGGCCGCAGCGGCACTGCCCGTGGACCGGGTCACAGGAGGCCCCGTTGAAGCAAGCGCAGGCCTGGCTGCAGTTGTGCCCGAACGTGAGGGCCGGACAGACTGCCGGAGAGACGTCGGGGTCAGGGATCGAGACCCCGGACCCCGGGGGGGGCAACTGGGCCGGCTGGGGTCGCCGTTCCTCTCGCTGGCCTGGGCGTTGCTCAGGGTGACCTCAACGAGGGGCCACCCTGCGGGCCTTCCCCAGGGGGCCGCCTGGGGGCCCCGACAGCCATGCTGGGCCCCGGGAGCCCGTCTGGCACAGCCGCCCGGCCCCCCGCCCGGCCCCCCGGGGCCGACGGGGCCTCACGCACCCTGGGCGCAGCGGGGGCCATGGCGGCCCGCAGGGCAGAGGCAGGTGCCGCTCACAGCGTCGCAGGGCGCCCCGGCGGCGCAGTCGCAGGCTTCGCGGCAGTCCAGCCCGAAGAAGCCGGCCGGGCAGGCTGCGGGAGAGGCGAGGTGACCGGGCGGCCGGGTCACCGGGCCCTGCCTCCGCCCCGGCCCCCGCCTGCCCCCGCTCACCTCGCTCGCAGAAGGTTCCCCTCCAGCCGGCCGGGCAGGTACAGGCCCCGCTGACGTGGTCGCAGGCGCCCCCATGCTCACACTGGCACCTCCGCTCACAGCCTGGCCCGAAGTGGCCCTGGGGACACCCTGGGACACACAGCCCCAGCCCACCGTCAGCTGGGAGGACAGTGAGCCTCGCCCTGTCCTGCCTGGGCCTCCGCCAGCCCCGGTTTGGGGGGGGCGGCGGTGGTGACGGTGCAGGAGGGAGGGGCGGGCTCATGGAGAAGCCCCTCCCTGCCCCAGGGTGCTGGGCTCCCCCTCCCCCGCCCTGTCCAAGTAAGAACCCACCCCAGGGGACACAGGAGCCCCCAGCTAACTTTTAGGGCTGCTTATAGGACTTGCCCCAGGCCCAGCTCCTCCGCCCCCACTCAGTCACAGGGGCACAGGCTGACAGGCAGGGCCCTTGGTCCTCAGCAGCCCCCCTCCTCCCTCCACCAGGTGCCCCAGGGGGCGTGACAGGCCCCCCTCTCCCCACTGGCTCCTCCAGGGGGGCCTCGTGTCAGGCCCAGGTAAGTGGAGGGGCGGGGCTGGGGCCTGGGCTAGGGAGAGGGAGTTCAGGCGAGCAGAGCCCCTGCTTATGTGGGGACGAGAGGGAAGGGGTAGGGCCCCCAACACTCACATGCAAATGTGTGCACGTGTGCATGTGCGTGCGCCTGTGTGCTTATGTGTGCATATGTGTCTGCACCTGTTTGCGCATGAGCGTGTGCATGGGTGTGTGCACATGTGCTTGTATATGCACATGTGCATGCCTGTTTGTGAGCATGTGTGTGTTTGTGCATGAGCATGTGTGCACATTTGTGTGTGCTTGTGCATGAGCATGTGGGCACGTGCACATGTATGCAAATGTGTTGTGTGCATGCGTGGATGCAAGTGTGTGTGAGCGTGCGTGCGGGGTGCACACGTGTGTGCCGTGGCACGCAGGGGGCAAGGCTGCAGGGGCGGCACTCACGCTGCTCGCACCGCGGGCCCGCGTAGCCGGCCTCGCACAGGCAGGCGCCGCTGATGGCGTCACAGCTCCCGTGGCCTGTGCTGCAGTTGCAGGTGAGGCTGCAGTCGGGGCCCCAGCGCCCGCCGTCGCAGGCTGCAACAGAGCCCTGTCACCGTGCGCGGGCCTGCGGGGAGCCCACGGGCCCCACAGCCAGTCGGGCACAGGGCTTCCTGCCGGCCCCACCCCCAAGTCCTGGTGGAGGCTCCTCCAGGGGCAGGGGCGCCGGGCGAGGCCACCCACCTCTCTGGCAGCTGAGGCCGGTCCACCCAGGGCCGCAGCTGCAACGTCCAGTCTCCGGGTCGCAGTGCCCGTCGTTGGCACAGGAGCATCGCACGTGGCAGCCGGGCCCAAACCAGCCTGCGGGGCACGCTGCGGGGGGAGGGGGGTGAGCGGGGGCGGCCGCAGCTCACAGGCCGGGGCTCGGTCAGCCATGCGGCACTCACCGTCCTGGCAGCGGCTGCCCGTGTAGCCGGGGCGGCAGCGGCAGGCTCCGGTCTCGGGCGCGCACGCAGCTCCGTGCTCACACGCAGGGCAGATCTCCTGGCAGCCGAGCCCCCAGCGGCCCTCGGGGCAATCTGGCCCCCCCACAGCCGTCAGCCTCCCCGGGGCCTTGCTGGGCGTCTGGCACAGCACCGAACCCCGTGCACAAGAGTGGGAGCGGGAGGAATGGGTCAGGGGGCCACCGCCCGAAGGGAAGCCCCAGCCCGGGCGGCTCAGCACGTGCAAAGGCCCATCAGAGGGGCCAGGAGACCCCCGTGCAGGAGCCAAGCAGCCTGGAGGGCAAACCGGAGGTCCCCTGGGGAGCACGGGGGCTCTGCTGGCTGCCTTCCCCAAGAATGAGGCTCCCCGGTGCCCCGCCGTGGGCACAGCCTGCAGGGCGGCCCCCGCCCCACTCCCAGGCCGCAGGGGGTCCGCACGGGCCGGGGGTCAGGGAGCCGCCCACGCGGCCCCGGGCCGGGGGGCTAGGGACCCACCCAGAGTGGAGCAGCACAGGGAGGTGAGGGGACGCCAGGACGTGCCTGCCACTCACCTTCCCCGCAAGCGTCCCCCGTCCGCCCAGGCGGGCACAGGCACTGCCCCGTGACCCGGTCGCAGGGGGCGCCCCCACAGGAGCAGGAGCCTGAGCAGTTCACGCCAAACGTCCCCGTGGGGCACTCTGTGGGGGCAGGGGGCAGGGGGGAGGACGGCCTCAGTTCCCCCACGTGCAGCTGCGCTCTCCCCTCGGCCCCCAGCTGGCACCTGCCTCCTGCCCAGGCAGGGCCGCCGACTCAGCCGGGGTTCCCCGGCGGGGCAGGGCGATCACAAGGTGGGCCAGGGAGAGGGACACGGAGCGCCGTGGGCGGGCCTGCATGGGCCGACCACGCATGTGCGCGTGCGTGTGTGCGCGCGTGTGGGGAGAGTGCTGAGGTCGCCCCGGTGGGCGCAGGGGGCAGGGGCGGGGTGGGGGCTGCCAGAGAGCGAGAGACAGTAGCTGGGCACCTCGGACCCTGGAGAGCACCCAGGGGTGGGCGATGGCTGGCTCTGCCCAACCTCCTGCCCCCTGCGTCCCCTGGGTCCCCCGCTGTGGCCTCTCAGAGCCCTGCCCCTAGCTGAGGGGTGACGGGCTTTGGGAAGGAGCGGCCCAGGAGGGTCCGGCCACGGCAGGGCCTCAGGAAGGGGCGTGGGTGCCTTATCCCGCCCCTCCCTGCCCCGTGCGCCCCACATCTGCCCCAGCTTGGGGCAACCACTCTGGCGCTGCTGGGGGAAGCTCCCCCAGGCCTGGGAAGGCTGCACGGCCCCCAGAGAGGGTGGCTGCATCCCCCTCCACGCCCCCTCCCAAAGAACCAGACCCCGCTGAGCAAACACCGCACACACGCAAAGCCCCACGGGGCTCTGGGACCAAGGACTCGCCACGAGAAACCCAGTCATAAGGACCCAGCCCCTGCGGGCACCACCCAGGCCCCCCATGGGCACAGGCGCACAGGTACCACGCTGCGGGCCGCAGGCGGGGCGCCCCTCGGAGCCGGCTGAAACTGCCCCCCCGGCCTGGAACGCCTCCCCCTCCGCTAACTGGGGGCAGGCGCGTGTCTGGCTCCATAATGCTTTCCAGACCTAACAACAGCGGGTGGGGGGAGCATCATTCCTCTAAAAAATACGTGTCATTTCCTGTGGCTCATCCTTGAGGCATGGAAGGCTTCTAATGAAAAAAGGCAGAGAAAGAATAAGAAAACAGCAGGGAAGGGCTGGGGCAAGGCGCTTCCATGTCCGGCTCTGCAAACAGGCCGCTGGGGAGGGCGGGCGAGGGGCGGGGAGGGAAGGCTGAGGGGGCCGGGGTGGGGACTGGCGCAGTGCAGCGCAGTCAGGAGGTGGCGAGCAGGGCCTGCGTGGGCCGCTGGGCTGCCGTGGCACCTTCACAGACCGGAGAGCAGAGGCCGGGCGGCTCGGACCGTGGAGCTCCTCAGACACCCGGTCGGACTTGGGAGGGGGGTCCTGGCTGGGCTCCCACGCAGCCCTCCCATACCCATGGGACCAAGAGCCTCGACGAGGTCATCAGTGGGGTCCCTGGGACCCCGCCAGGGGAGGGGCCTGGCCTGGGTGCAGAGAGGAGACGGCCCCTCGGCTGAGACAGGGCAGAGCCCAGGGCCCATCCTACCCCCGGGGGGATGGGGAGCAGGGTGGCAGCTCTGACTCGGGGGACAGGCTTGTGGCTGCAGGGAGCTCGAGCCAGCTGTGCCCTCGCTGTGGTCACGGCATTCACACCACAGCGCCATGCCCCGCCCCGCCCCCATGCCCACGGCTGACGGGCGGGGGCGAGCCAAGGGCGGTCCCAGCCCACCAGTGCCTGCAGGGGCGGCGGCGGCCCTGCCCCTCCCGTGGAGGCCTTTCCCCTCACCTGCCGTGACGCGTGAAGGGGGCCCGCGCCTGCGGCCCCACCCCTGGCTCCGCGCCCACGCGCAGGGCCCCAGGCCTCCGCCACCCCGACGGCCGGCCCAGACTCGGCTCCGAGCCACCACCCCCGGGAGCGGCGGCCCGCCTGGCTGGCTCGGGCCCCCAGGGAGGGGCCCCTGCGCCCCGGCTTCGGGTCAGAGCGCTCAGCGCGTGCCAGCGGAAGGAGGGAGCGGGCGCGGGCGGCTGTGGAGACGCACCGGCGCTGCTCTGGGCCGGGCCCGGGGCTCGCATACCAGCTCCGTCCAGGTCCACGCTCGCAGGCGCCCGGCGACAGGCAGCCCGGCGTGACCGCGGGGGACCGGGCGAGGGCAGCTCCCTGGGCCGGGCGGCAGGGCTGGCTCGGCTGCCGCTCACAGCAGGGGGGCGCCGGAGGACCCACGCCCCTCCCAGACCCCAGCTCCAGGGACCGGCCACTCACCTCGGTCACAGTCCTGCCCCCGGTAGCCGGCAGGACACTGCTTCCCACACTCGCCGCTGACGGGGTCGCAGGCCAAGCCCGGAGGACAGGCGCACGCCTGCTGGCACCCCGGCCCGAAGAAGCCGGGCTCGCAGGCTGCAGGGCGAGGAGAGGGGCCTGCGGGGTCAGCCAGCCGGGGCCGCCCGCGCCCGCGCCCGCCGCCCGCCGCACTCACCGTGCTGGCACCGTGGGCCCCGGAAGCCCGCCTTGCAGGAGCAGCTGCCGTCGCGCCCGTCGCAGGCCTGCGTGTTCTGCTGCTCGCACCGGCACTCCTCCGAGCAGCCCGGCCCGAAGGCCCAGGGCGGGCAGGCTGCGCCCACAGGCTCGTGAGCGGCCGGCCGCCCGCGCGCCCGGCCCCTCCCCGGCCCCGGGGGCCCCGGCCCGCCATTCCTGGGACCCGACGCAGAGCTGCCCTAGGCACCGGAGTCCCGGAGGACCGGCCGCCGCGACCGTCTCGGAGACGAGAGACCGGGTCTCAGTGAAGGGAGGGGGTCTGCCCGGGGCGCCCCACTTTCCAGCCAGGGAACGCTTGGGGTCCCCGTGTTCTCCGTAACAGAGCCGCTGGGAGGAAGCCTCTCACGGTCCTCCACCTCTCCCCAACCAGGCCGCCGCTCCCCCAGCCCGCCCTCCGGGGGCTGTGGGCCTCCCTGGGCCCAGGACCCGCCTTTGCACCGGGAATCTCCAAAACCAACCATGAGCCCTGTGTCCAGGAAGCCCCTGAGGGAGGGCCGCTGCCGCCCCGACCAGGGCTGGGGACCGCCCACCCAGCAGGGGGGCCTCGCTGAGCCCCCACACCCTCATCTGCAAGTAGTGAACAGTCAATCCCAAGCCAGGATGCGGGCGGCAGGGCACAGCGGCGCCATCCCCTTGGACGCAGGCGGGGGACTCACCCAGGTGGCAGAAGCGGCCGTAGAGCCCTGGGTCGCAGAGACAGGCCCCGTAGAGGCGGTGGCAGCGGCCCCGGTTGGCACAGTGGCACTTCTTACGGCAGTGCTTGCCGTAGAAACCCTTGGGGCAGCCTGGGGGGAGGTGGGGCCTCGTGAGCGCCCACTGGTAATGGCTCCCGAGAGCCCTGCGTCCCGACAGGGAAGGACCCGGAGATGAGGGGGCACCGGAGCCCCGAGGATGTGGCCGACTGCCCTGGGCCTGAGGCCTGGACGGTGGCCAGGGCAGGGGGCCAGATGGGCGGCTCAGCACGCACGTGGACACGCACAAAGGCCCCGTCCCGGTCTCCCGTGTCTGCCGCACATCCACAGCAGCCTGACCTCTGTCCCTTGGTGGCCGACCGCTAGACCTCAAAGAGGGAAGGGCACGCGGCCCCTGCGGGCCAGGGTCCCAGGCCCCCCAGCTTGGGGCCGCGGCGAGGAGGGCTCTGGCCTTCCTTCCCGAGTGCTGCCCCCGACTCAGTCCTGCCACTGACGGGCTGCACAGGCTGGACGGTGACCCCAAGCTACGCCCCCGTCCCAGTCCCCGGGGGCTCCAGGTGGGACCATCCTGGCTTATCCATGTTGGCCGAAACCCCCCAACCAGTGTCTTAGAAGAGAAAGGAGCGGAGGCCGCGGGAAGACAGGGCGGACTGGCAGGAGGCGGCCACAAGCCCAGACCGCCTGGACCAACTAGGGAACAAACGGGGCCACAGTGCACCCCCCAACACTGGCCCGCCGGCCTCTCCTGGGCCAGGCCCTGTGAGTTCACCTGCGCAGGTGCACTTTGCCACAGGACCCCGAGGGGAACCCCGGGGTCCGGGAAGCCACGTGGCCTCACACGCAGAAGCACTCAGATACAGACCCTTCCCTGCCCAGTGCCCCACAGGTGGGCGCCAACAGACAGCAGAGTCCTCGACCCTCGGCAGGACAGGGACGGCAGGGTGAAAGGGGAGACAGGCAGGGAGGCCACCAGAGCCGCGAAGGCTGAGCAGGGGAGGCGGCGGAGCCCTGCACAGCCGCCCTGGACTTTGGGACCCGCCCTGCGGAGCCGGGGCCACCCCCAGGCGCGGGCCGGGGACCGCGGATGGCTACCCTCCACCTGCTGAGGCAGGAGGTCCCCGATACGTTATCTACATTCTCTGGCAAAAGAGGTGGGATTTTAAAGGCCCGAAGACTCAAGGAAGGAGCGTCAGTCACCTGAGATCACCTGAGAAAGTCATCGCTGTGGGCCCTCAAGCTCCTCCAGAAATGCGGACACTTGAGGGTTAGAAGGACGTTTGCATCACCCCGTGTAACCACAGGCCCAGGTGTAACGCCTTCTGCAAATCCCACCCCGCCATCACTCAGCTCTACTTGAATGCTCCTAGGAATGGGGAGCTCACTACCTCTCCTAGGAGCCCATGCCAAAAATGCAATGCTTCCGTCAGGTCTTCACCATCTGGGATCATCCAGGACACTTAGCAAACCATGAAAACTCAGCGCCTCTCTCCATGAAGGGCCCCCCGTCAACCACGGAAGGAGGGCGGCTCGGAGAGGGGTGCCTTCCCCTCTGCCCGCCCCAGAGGCAGTCACAGCGCCCAGCAGGGCCACACCCACCGTCCTCACAGTGGGCTCCGCCGACACCTGGGGGGCAGCGGCAGGCCCCCGTCACGGGGTCGCAGGTCCCGCCGTTCTGGCAGCTGCAGGGGGAGCTGCAGTTCTTCCCGAAGGCGTCCGGAGGGCAAGCTGCGGGCGGCAGGGAAGGACGAGGTCGGCAGCCGCCACAGAAGGACCCGGAGACACCGGGCTGGGGCTTGGGCCGCCCAGCTCAGAAGCAGCTGCCCAGAGCGAGACGCAGGACCCACGGGCTAGGACGCCCACAGGCAGCGGAGGGGTCGCAGGACGATGGCCACACCCATCCCTCTGAAGGCCAACGTGTGCGCCTTCCCCGCCAGCGCTTTCTGCAGGCAGGCCCTCGGGGAGTCCCCAAGGCCCCGAGCCCCCCGGGCCGGCCCTGCCTTGCCCTGCCCTGCCCCGGGGGCATTGGGTGGTGGGTGGCGCAGGCTCTGGACCGAAAAGGGGGAGAGTTTTGTCCACTGAGCTCCAGCCACCGGCAGGTTGAGTAGCCCAGGGAAGATGCTGCTCCCACTGGGACAAGACGGGACTGGCCGGGCCACCGCTCCTCTTCACCAACCACCCTTTGTTGTCCCGGCCCCCGTCCGTGGTGGCATCGGTGAGGGGCAGACGCCCGGCACCGAGCGGCCGTCAGCAGGCCCTGAATGAATGGTGGCGGAGGCCCACGTGCACCCCCAGGGTGAGCAGGAAGGAGCAAACGGAATGGGCTGCATGCAGGTCCCCGCCCACGGGGCGCCGCCCCGCCCCTGCCCAGCCCCTCACTCTCGTTGCAGACGAGCCCGGTCCAGCCCTCGGGACAGTCGCAGCCGTCCAGGCCCGGGAGGCAGGTCCCTCCGTTCCTGCAGTCCTCGCAGGTCAGGCTGCAGTCGGGGCCGAAGGTGTCGCCCAAGCAGACTGGGGGCAGATGGCAGAGGGACCTCAGACCCCGCCCGGGCTCGAGGACACAGGCGCCAGAGAAGGGGACACACAGGCCGTCCTCTGTCCACGCGAGCCTCAGGGGGAGGGCGGGGTGCGGGAGCCGGAGGCCGGGGCCTGGCAGGGCCCCAACCCAGGAGCTCGGGGCGGGCCCAGCCCAGGCTCAGCGCCGGATGCGCGGTGCACACCGACCGGTGGCTGGGCCTTTCAGCCTTGGTCAGACGAGGTCCTCCCCACCGCGCCCGAGGCCACCTCCCGGAGACCAGAGCCCAGGCGACGCCCACCGCTCACCAAACTTCTCCTCCAGTGTGTGTTCGCCCCGGGCCTCGGCCTCCACCTCCGCCTGCTCGGCCCCGACATAGTCGTCTTGGAAGAGGTGGGACAGTGTGTCCTGAAGCACCGAGACGTGCGGCAGGGGCCGCACGAAGGGCAGCCGGCCGTCCAGGTCCACCTCGGGCACCTCCAGGGCTGCACGGGACACGAAGGCCCTCAGCCCCTGCCGCCCGCCTGTCCCCAGGACAACGCCCCTGCCCCTGGGTGCCCAGGGCCCGAGCCCCACCCTGGGGCCCCTCATGTGCCTCCTTGCCCTGCTCTTGGGGAGCGGAGGTCCCAGCTCCTCCTCAGAACAGACAAGGCCCCGGAACCTGGGGACCTGACCTGGCCCCGGCCCGGCTCCCACCCTAGATCTCGGGAAGCAGAGTGTGGAGGGGAGCGGGGGGCAGAAGCAGCTCTTTGCCCCTCTGGACGCTGTCCTCAGGCCCAGGGATGACGTCCCTTCTCTCGGCGGGGCAGAGCAGGTGCAGGACCCACCCAAGGCCTAAGTGACACCCTGCCTGGGGACGCCTGTCTGAGCAGACCCTCCCCCGCCGCTGCCCCTGGCCTGTCCCCCAGTGGGTTGATGCAGGGCGGACGCAGGCCCAGCCAGCAGGAAGGCGAGTGCACGGGCTCCGGGAAGGGGCCCCGCGGTGGCCGGCGCAGACTCACGGGTGCAGCCCCTGCGGTCCTCGTCCAGCCGGAAGCCAGCCTCGCAGGAGCACCGGAAGGAGCCGGCCAGGTTGGTGCAGTGGTGATCGCAGCCGCCGCGGTCGGAGGAGCATTCGTCCACGTCTGCGGGGGGCAGACCGGGCTGCTGGGGCCTGTCCGCGGGGGCGGACGCGGGAGGCCCCTAGGGCCCCGCTCTGCCCGCTGGCCCGAGGCCCTGTGGCGATGCCTGCTGGGTGGCGCTCCCCACGGCTGTCCTCCCGTCCCCAGGCTCCCAGGGATGGCAGATGCCCTGCCCGAGGGCGGCTGGGCTGGGAGCGGCTGGGGTGCGTGCGGGCCCTGCCCCAGGCCAGGGAGCCAGCGGGCTGGCCCGCCCTGCCCGACAGACAACAGGCGCCCAGCCAGCGCCAGAGGCAAAGCTCAGGCCAACCCCTGCCCTTCCTTGGGTGCCCCCCGCCCCCCGCCGCTCACCCTCGCACGCGCAGCCATCAGGGCCGAGCCGGTAGCCAGCGTAGCAGCCGCACTCGTAGCCCCCGGGGCTGTTGGTGCAGACCTGCTGGCAGCAGGGCGAGTCGGCACAGTCATCCACGTCTGCGGGGACACACAGGGCCGCTGCGCCCGGGCGCCACCCTCCGCGCCCGCGTGTGCCCACACGACCGCACGCACCCCCGCAGGCACCCGCGGGGCGCACGGCCTGGCCGCGGGGCCACCCCCGCTGCGGGGGCCGGGCCGGGCGCTGGGGGTACGCAGCCCATCTTGGGGGCAAAGCCTCTCTGCGGCCGGGAAGCGGACCCTCGCACACCACGGTGCTCCGGTGTGGCTCCGCGTGACTGGAGGGACCACCCTTGGGCCGCCGGGGAGCACGGGCGAGACAGGAGGGACTCCCGTGTCACGGCACCGGCGGCGGTGCGTCCCCGGGCCGGGGCGTGGGGCGTGGGGCGTCGGGGGGGGGTCGGGGGGCCCGCTCGCACCGATACACGTCTTCTGGTCCTCGTCCAGCTCGTAGCCACGGGGGCAGGTGCACAGGGGCCCCGCGCTGCTGTGGCTGCAGCCGTGAGAGCAGCCGCCGTTGTCCGCCTCGCAGCTGTTCACGATCTCCATCTCGATCCCTGAGACGAGACCCGCCCCAGGGGCGTGGACAGGGTCCGGGTGATGCTCCCCACCCACTGACCCACCGACGGGGGCCTGCCCTGGCCCGGCAGCCCGCCTGGGTCCCCCGGCTGCTCTCTGCTGGGAAACAGGCAGCCTGGAGCCCCGGGGCAGGCTGGGCCCTGGGACCCTGGCCCTCCCGCCCGCCGCCCCGCCCCTGCCCGCCCAGGGCCACAGCGCCCACGCTCAGCACGGCCCTCGGCTGACAAGGGAGCTCGGCCACACAAGCCGGCAGCCCGTGGGGGCCTGGGAGCCGCGCCCACCGCCCCGCGCCCACTCACGGTAGCACTGCCGGCCGTCGGCCCCCAGCTCGTAGCCCGCGTGGCACACACACTTAAAGGACCCCCGCGTGTTGAGGCAGCCGTGGGCGCACTGGGCCAGCCCCGCCGCGCATTCGTCCACGTCTGGAGGGGAGACCGAGGGGGAGGGCTCTGCGCCGCTGGCCTGGGAGACAGGCCCCCGGGGCGGAGCCTCCATGTGGGGCCCCGCCAGGCCCTTTCCCGCGCCCCCACTCCGTGGCTCCAGGCCTGGCCGGCCCCTCTGTGCACCCGGTTTTGCAGCAAGCTCTCCCGAGGCCAGGAGGGCACGGTTCAGTCACACTCCGGAGCCAGCGGCACCGGGCAAGGGGCTCCACCGCCCGGAGCCCTCGGTCCGTCGGCCATGCCCTCCCCACTCCGCCGAGCTCCCTGCCCTGGGCCTGGCCGGGAGGGGCCCTTCCAGGCCGCCCCCGGGGCGCGCAGAGGCAGGCGCCAGCCCCCAGGCCGCGAGACCCAGGGTCCCTGACTACTCCTTTGGTCACGTCCCCGCAGTTCCTCAGGATGAAAAGGTTGACCCTCGTCCCTGTTTCCTGCTGAGCCCGCCGAGCCGCCAGCACCCGGGACAACACTGGCAAAGACTCCTGCAACGCTGCTCCCCGGAGTTGGGGCCGCACCTGCGGCCCGTCCGTCTGACAGCCCCCTGGCGGGGGGCACACGGACCCCTCCCCAAGGCTGCTTCTGTCTCAGGGAGGCGTGGGGGCCCCCGAAAGTCCTGGGACGGGTGACCGGCCCATGCTGCGTAGCACCCAGCGAGGACCCCCGCAGCCTGGGGTGCGGGGGCCGCCCTAGAAAGCGGCATCCAGCACACGAACAAAACCAAGACAGCTGGAGGCCAGCTGGTGGCCGTCACGACTCAGCCGCGGCTTCCCCTTTCCTCTCCTCTCATTTCCCTCACAAGCGGGTCTTGCTTGGGTGACACCAGAAACGCTTCAAAACAAACACACAGTCTGAACCCGCCACCTGGGCTCACACGCGGCTCTGTTCGGAAGCAGGCCCTGCAGCATGTTCCTGCCGCCCCGCCCCCCGCCCCACGGCAGACGGGCCCCGGCCGGCCTGGCACCCGCAGGCCAGGCGTAGCGGGAAGGGCGTCCTACCTTCGCAGGCCTTGCGGTCGGCCGCCAGCCGGTAGCCAGCGTGGCAGCCGCAGTGGGCGAGGCCCCGCAGCGCCTGGCACGTGTGCATGCAGCCGCCGTTCCGGTCCGCGCACGGGTTTCTGCCTGCGGCCACGGCCGGGGGCGACAGAGGCAAAGGGAAGAGATGAGGTGAGAGGTGGGGGGCTCCCACGGATTCGAGGGTCCTGCCCCAGGGCCCTCGCCCTTCCTGCTCCAGGGCTCCGGGCCGGCTGGTGGGCCTCCCTCCTCCCAAATGTGGGAGCCCCCGAGACGCCCCAGAGAGGACAGCTCCACCCAAGCCTCTTCTCCCCGCTGGGGCCAGCGTGCCTGGCTGCTCCCTCAGCCCCTGACCCTGTGCCACTCTGCAGCCCCCGCTGGCCTGGCCCCTCAGGCCCATCCATGCGCACTCCAGGCGGGGGACCCAAGGGGCCAGGGTGGCAGGGAGGGTGCTGTCTCAGCACCTGTTCAACCCTGCCCCCCACTTCCGCATCTCAGGGGCGCCCCTGACCCCGCTCCACCTTCTCCATCAGCAAAGCCCCCTCTTCTGCTGACAGGCAGCCCGAGGACCCAGGACAAGGTGTCAGAAGGGGCCTGGCCTTCCTGCTCCACCCAGGGCCTGGGGGCCTGCACCCCACCTGCCCGGCCGAGCCCAGGGTGCTCCCGCCCTGATCATGTGGCGCCCGCAGGCGTGTGACCGCAGGCACAGCAGCAGCCGGGCGGGGTCCCCATCCCATCCCAGAGGCCGAGCCGGCGGTGCGTCCTGCCTGTGCCCCTGCCCGGGCTGCAGGTGCGCATGGGACGGGCCGGGGGGCCGGCACCCCCACCCCCGCCTGAGGCCGCCGCACACTCACGGACGCAGCGCCTGCCGTCCTCCTGGAGCTGGAACTCGGGCTGGCACTGGCAGCGGTGCTGGGTCGCTGTGAGCTGCACACAGCTGTGCTGGCAGCCCCCGTTGCCCACGGCGCAGGAGTGGATGGCTGGGGGCACAGAGAGGAGCCCACTCAGCGGGGATCAAGGGGGGTGCTGGACCGCAGGATGCTCCAAGCCCCGCCTCCTGCCATCCTCCAGCCCGCTGTGGTGTTTCCCGGGGGCCACGGGGTCCCTGTCTGGCTCCTGGCCACATGGGGGTGCAGGCCTGTGGTCGGCTCTGAAGCCTCCAACCCCAGCCCCCCCAGGGACCAGATGTACAGGCGCCGATGAGCAGGGAGCCTCTCGGTGGAAGCCAGGAGCCACCCAGCACCCCACTGACAGCCAGTGTGTCCCGGGCTCAGAGGCAGAGCAGCCCAGGAGGCTGCCTGGAGGAAGAAGCAGGCCAGCAAGGGGGGTGGAGGCCCAGACATTCCACTATCCTGGCCGCCAGGTTACGGCCGAGGGGCAGGCATGCAGTTTCCGTGGACAGTCACCGAGGCCTGCGGGCCTAGCTGCCAGGCTGGGCCCCACTGGAATCTGACCTCATCCAGCCCCCACTGCCCCCAGCGCCCGTGGGGACAGCACTAGGTAAGGCCACAGAGCCAGGCACCTGAGTCTCAGCCCCAGGACAGCAGTGGCCCAGGCCTGCCTTCTCGGGCGCCCACAGGACAGGCTCTGCCAGGTCAGGCTGGCCGAGCGGCGCCTACGTCCTGGCTGGAGGGGCTGGGCCACTCCCGAGGAGCCATGCTGAGCGAGGCCGGGTGCCCAGGGTGGGCTCTGGGTCCCTGGCAGCTCCACGAAGGCTCTGGTCGTGGCCCGTGGTTAGGGAGGGCATGGGCCCAGAGCTCGGGGACAAAGCCACAGGAACGCGGTGCTGTCTGTGGCCCAGCCGCCTGGCCCGGAGCAAACCAGGGTCCTGTCGCTGCAGCCCTGGGACCACCGGGGGGTGGGGTGTCGCCTGAGGCACCCCTGTGCAGTCATCAGACCCTAGGGTGAGTTCGGGAGCCAGGGGCACAGGCCTGGTGCCTGGGGGCCAGACTCTGAGGCCAGAGGAGCTGGGCGCAGTGGCGCGCCCGCATGCCGAGCACATGAGCAGCCCCAGGGCTCGGCGAGGCTGCAGCCACGCTGTCTGCCAAAAGCAAAGCTTCCTTCAAAGCAAGTATGTCTGAAAAAAGCCAAACGCAGCCTTCAAGATGCTGCCCTGTTTCCCCATGTGGCGCGAGCCGGTGGGGAGCCTGTGCGGAGGGAACCCTCCGGGCCCGGACCAGCCCCGGGGCGGGGGCAGCGGGAGCCAGGGCCGGCTGGAAAGACCTTGTCTCCTGATCACGCCGGGCGCTGGCACGTGCCGGGGAGAAGCAGTGGAGACTCGAGGCCTGGGCAGAACCAAGGCAAGCAGGGCGGCCACCATCTCTAGTCCCTGCCAGCCCCTGGGCTTCCCCCATTCCCGCCTACCTCCAACTCTGCCCTGACCCCAAAAGACCTGCCTGCCTCGCCTGAGACAGCTCTGCTTAAGCCCCTCCCCCACCCCAGGGGTTCCCGAGCACAGCCTGGGCCAGCTCCCCCGGCCCCCCCCGGGGCTCTGTCTGCGCTCGCAGCCCCAGCTCTGCTTGGGGCTCATAATAGGAACCAGACTCCTCCCTGGCAGGACAGGCAGGCTCACAGACACGGGGGCCCGGAGCCCAGGGCGGCGGGCCAGCTGGGCCGGCACCTCGGCCCAAAGGGGTCTCCAGCAGCGGTGGCAGGGCTGGAAAGAAGCCCCTCCAGACAGGCAGAGCCCCTGAGACCCGCCCACAGGCAGCCCCGCACCGAGCCCGCTGGAGCCCGCGGGGGAGGGTCGCGAGCAGGCAGGCGCTGGCGGCGGGTGTCCCGGCCCCCGGGCCGTCTCGCCCCCTCCCTGGCCGTCACTTGCCGCTCCGCTGCGCCTTCTAACATTCCCTTCGCCCCCAGGAGGCGGCCGAGCCCAGGCCGCCTGGTACAGCCTGGGCCAGGAGTCCCAGAACGCTGAACCAGGCGCATTTCTCAGGCGCCGGGCTGTGCCACGCGGGGAGGGGTGGGGGGCAGCTGCTGTGTGACCAGTGTCCAGAGCCGGTGGTGACGTTTCCAGGCCCCCAAGTCACCCGTGGCCCAGTGACCCCTGCACACCAAGGCCACACCCAGGCCTGACGGGAAGCTGAGAGCCCAGCAGGAGACGGGAGGGTAGGGGGCCCCCAGCCCCTGGCGGGCTGAGTGCCCACGTCCCCCTAACATTCAGCCCCCTACGTGACTGTATGTGGAGGGAAGCCCTCGTGGAGGTAATTAAGGTTAAATGAGGTCATACGGGCAAGGCCCTGATCCAATAGGATTTGTGTCCTTATAAGAAGAGACATGAGATCTCTTTGTCTCTCTCTCTCTGCCACACAAGGACACAGCGAGAGGAGCCGTCAGGAAGGCCGGTCTCACTGTGATTGAATTGGCTGTCACCTGGCCTGAAACTTCCAGCCTCCAGAACGGTGAGAAAATTAACATCTGTTGTTTAAGCCCCCCAGTCTGTAGGGTTTGTTACAGGGGCCCGAGCTGACTGATCCACCCTCACTCCCCAGTTGCAAGTTTTAGGACCCTGGCCTTCAGCCAGGGGACTGTGGGGTTCTAATAGAGCTGGGCTGCAATTCCTCCTTCTGCCAGCAGGGGCCGCCCTACTCAGGAGCCTCAGGTGTGAGGCCTTGAAACCAGCAAGGGAATAGCGCCTCACCTGAGCAAGAGACTGGATGTCTAGAACACAAGTGTCCCACAAGGTGAGGGGCCCACTCTGTCTCTGTCAGTGGTTCTCCACTCTTGGGAGTACAGGTGGCGGCCCTGAGGCCTGGCCACAGCGTTGGGCTGGAGCCCAGGGCCAGGTGCACCGGAGTGTCAGGGAGCAAGCGGCAGGTGGGGGCAGCGGATGGCCGGCCTCAAGGGCAGCTCCACTGACGAGGCCCCGGTCCCCAGGCCTGGCACATTGGCCAGCCCGAGCTGGCCAGCTGAGGGGCTGTGCTGTGGCGGGCTGGCTGTGGGGGCAGGGGGCAGGCCTGTCACCAGGGGGCTGGCCACCGGCTCCCTCTGCTCCGGCCTCCAGCCAGCTGGTGGTTTCGGGGCTGTGACTTCACGGGGGTAATCGCTGCCCTCGGCCTGGCTTGGTTTCTGGATCCCGAGAGCCTCACCCCACGCGTGGCCCGCGGCCACCCGCAGTCCTTCTGCCCAGGAAGCCCTGTGGGGACAGGGCCAGGATGGCAGGAGGAAGGGGCGGCGGCCGGCTCGGCCAAGAGGACGAGCTCGCCGGGCCCTGCCCGTCCCCCTTCACTGCGAGACTGCTCGTGGGCCGCCTGCGGCTCAGCCGTGTGCGTCCTGCCCCACCCCTGGCCTCTGCGCGGGGCCCCAGCACTGCTCAGGGGGCACAGGTTGCCTGTAGCCACGTAAACAGCCATCCGCTCCCACATTCCAGGGACGGGGCCTGGGCGGGACGGGGCCTGGGTGGCACCGGCCCCAGCACCGCACGCCACTCGCCTGCCAACCGGCCCTGGCTCCTCCGTCCCAGGGAGGAGGCCCCCCAAGACGGGCCCCAGGACCCAGCGGTGCCCCTGGCCTGCCCGGCGCCTGTCTGTCCTCACCTGAGCCTCCCCCACCCCTGACCCCTGGGATCCTGTGCCATCGTCTCAGCTCTGCCCTTCCCACACGCACTGAGGCCCCAGTTAGCTGGCCCTGACCCCCCGCTGGGTCTCCCCATCCACCCTGGGGTCTGTGGCCTCTGTCCCTGCACTTCATTGGGTGGGGTGATACCATCCCATCCCCCCAACCCAGGGCCCTGACAGGCTGCGCTTCTGGGGCCCTGGTCTCGGGGACAGGGCCTTCCTTTCCCACCTGCCGTCCAGACCGGGCCCCCTGGGAACCAGCCAGGGACACTGTGGGCCCCCAGACTGCCCCCGGAGCATGGCTCGCCCCGGGCCACATGGAGCAGCAACCACGCCCCAGGCCAGGGTCCGGGAGAGACCGCCGGGCAGGTGTCGCGCTGGCTCTGAGCACCGGGCCGCGCAGAGGATGGTTTCCCAGCGCAAAGCGTTAGCGGCCCTGGGAGCTGGTCTCCTCAGTCATTTGCCTGGAGAGATGCGAGGGAGACACTTGCCACCCCCCGCCCCGCCGCCCCAACCCCCTTCCCACGCTGGGGAGGGCAGGGGCTGGCCCAGAGCCCCCGCGGGCGAGAAGCAGGAGGGACCAGGCCTGGGCCTCGGGGGGGCCTGCCCCTCTGTCCCCAGAGCCCGGGGGCATGAGCCCAGGAGCGCACCCTGGCCAGGAAGCACCCCAAAACACCGGCTGCTTCTGTCTCTCGGGCGGCCAAGCTGGCCAGGGGCGGCCAGGGCAGAGCGCGGGCGCTCAGGGGCCTTGGGGCCTGGCCGCCTCTCCTGGCCCGGGGCCAGTGGCAAAATCCGTGTGGCAAATTCTCACTTTTAAGAACTGAAAGTTTGGCGTTTTATTTCTTTTGCAAGGGAGGGGTGCCTGGGGGCTGTGAATTCCCTGTCCTCCCCTTGCCTGGGAGGGGAGTTTGACCAAGAGTGTTTCAAGGATCCCCTTAAAGCGCTGCCCCCTGTAGGGGCTTCCCAGGTTCCTCAGGCCAAGAATTGCTGCAGCCCCGCCCTGGCTGGGAGCGCCTCCCCCCCCGCCCCCCCCCTCCAGCATCTCTGTCACTTTTATTCAAGGGGCAGGAGGGTGCTGGCAGCCGGCCTGTACAGTCCTGGGGGCCTTGCGGCACTTCCCCCGCCCCAGAGGATGCCGGCAGGCCCCAGGGGAGGATCCCAGGGCAGCTGCGCTCCAGCTGTGCAGGCTGCCCGTAGCTGGCCCGGGAGGGGGCGGTGGGGGCAGAGGGGGGCCCAGGTTCTACACTGACTCATCCTGAAAGGTCCGCTGAGGCCCCAGGGTAACCTGGGCTCAGACCCCAGGACGAGACCCCCGGCTCGCCCCAAGCCCTGTACGCTGGGGGGCCCAGAGGAGGAGGAGGGTCCACACACCTCTCAGAGGCATGGAGTCCAGCCCCCTCCCCGGGAGCCCACAGAGAGCCCAGTAGCCTGGCACGGGCTGAGCCGCCCTCCCCTGGGCCCCTCCTGGGAGCCCCCACGGGCGAGCTGAGAGGTTCGGCCATCCCTCACCCCCAGGCCGGCAGGCCGGGTCCACCGCAGCCGGGCCGGTCCCCAGGCAGCCGGGGCGGATGCATGAGCGAGAAAGGTTTCCTGCTCTGCCCCAGGGGACCCCGTGTCCACTCCAGAAGCCTCTCAGCAAAGCTCAGGCCCCACTGGAACGGCAGCTCCCCGTGGACCCAGGCCAACAAACCCGCGCCGATCCCGACACCCTCGGGAGACCTGGGGAAGGCCTGAGACGGCCAAGGTGTCAGCTCCCAGGGATTCCGGACTCAGGGAGCCTACCAACAGCAAGGAGCACGTGGGGGGTACGCGGGTGTGGGTGCGCACGTGCGGTGTATGTTCGGGGGCTGTGGGTGCGGGTGGGGGCCGTGGGGGCCTGGGGTGCAGGCATGGTGTGTACTTCCTGTCAGGGGCTGCGGTCATAAGAGGAAGTCACAGGCCTAGGCCTCAGGAAAGCAGTCCCAGCTTCGGGGAGAAGCCGCTGTCCCGCAGGGACCAGAAGCTGGACACCAGCCCCCAGAAGGCCGGAGAGAGCGGGGCCCCGGGGCATACCTTCTCAGCCTGGGTGCGCAGAGCTGGGGGGCGCTGAGGCCGCAGCCGCCGCAGGCCGGCCCATGCCGACCCGACCCAGGAGCCCTGGCGTCAGACTCAGGGGATCTTTTCAAATGACCCAGCACCGAGAATCGAGGCCCGCGGGGCCCCAGCGCAGGCGGCTCCAGGCAGGGTCGCGGGGAGGGGCTCCAGTGTAGCGGCGGAGCGGGCGGGTGGGGGCACCCCTTCCCAGAGCCAAGACCCTCCCAAGTCCCGCGGGGCACTTGCCCCTTGGCATGCTGCCCACCCATCACCGCCCCCGTCGGCGTCCCCTTGAAGGCCACCATCGGCGCAGTTGGGGGCCCAGGGAGATGGGAGGGTGTGTCCCAGCCCCGCCCCGCACGGGGGAACCAAGGCAGGGAGGGGGCGGCGGGTGTCCACGAGGCCCAGGCCCCACGGACACCCTTCCCCAAGGAGAACCTGCCCCCAAGGAAGGGGGTGGGAAGGACACCCGGGGAGGCGGGGGCTCCGAGGCCTGAGAGCCCGTGGCCGCGGGCTCCCAGAAGCCTGCCTCCCGCCGGCCGGCAGCAGCGGGGGCTGCCCCCCCGGCGTTCCGTCTGCAGTGCACCGCAACATTCCTGCATCTGTTTCCACTTTCCGAACCAAAGAAATTTTACGGGGCAGCAGCCTCGCCCCCCAGCAGCAGCCTGGACATGTGAGAGTGCGTGGCGCTGGGGGGCCCCCCGGGGCTGGCAGACCGCCTGCCACATAGCAGCCAGGCAGGCAGGCAGCAGGCCCTTGGAGCCCGCCCGCGCACTCGGGGTCTTCAGGGCGGAAGGAAAGGGCACCCCGCCCCCGGGAGAACAACCCCCATGGGGCCTCGCAGGCAGGAGGGGGTCAGTCAGCCCTGTGGCCACAGCACCTGTGTCCAGGGCCAGCCCGGGGGGGGGCAGGGGGGGCACTGACCGCTCAACCCTCGGCTCCTGGCCTCCAGCCCCGCCCCCCTCTGCCTCAGCGGCGCCTGGTGCTCTCCCCTTTCTGCCCCCTTTTCTCCCTCATCACCCTCCAGAACTGGCAGGGGCCGGCACCCCCGTCGGGCCCCTTCCCCGAGGCAGAAAGAGCCCGGAGAGAAACAGAGGGTCAGGATCCCTCGCTCCACCGGCCAGAGCCCAGCCCCCAGGCTCCCAGGCCAGGAAGCCCAGCTCAGCTGCCCCAGGCCGGCCTCCCAGCGCGTTGGGAGGCTCTCGATAGGACGGCAGACCGGGGGCTCCTCCCCAGGTCACGGGGCCACGCCCCCACCCAGGGAGGGGACCTGGGCCTCCCAGGCAGATTCCAGGTGTGGCTGCAGAGGGCCCCCGGCCCAGGGCCTGAGCGCCCAGCCTCGACGCGGGGGAGCAGGGCCCTCAGGACGGTTCTTCCTCCACCTGCCTGAGCCCCAGCTCGCTCAGGTGAGTGGGGCTGGCAGGCCCACACCAGGCCAGGCCGGGGCGCCGTGGCCTCCCGCAGGCAGCTGGGCATGCCCAGGAGGGTGGGGGACAGCCGAGGCCAGGTGCCCGGGCAGGGAGGGGGCCCCGGGCGCAGAGGCCTCACCCAGGCAGGTCCTGCCGTCCGTGTGGAGTCGGAAGCCGGGCCTGCACTCGCAGACATAGGAGCCGGGCGTGTTCATACACCTGTGGTGGCAGCCGCCGTTGTGCATCTGGCACTCGTCCACATCTGGGTGGGGACACAGGGTCGCGGGTCACAGCCCGTCCCCACTGGGCTGCCCGCCGCTGCCCTGCGCCGCCCCGGGGTCCGGCCCAGCCCCTCCCTGAGGACAGCACCCCAGGCCTAGGTGCTGAGGCCCAAACCCCAAGCGCTCTGCTGGGGACCTCCAGGACCCTCTGCCCCCTGCACAAGCCACATCCATCCTGGGGAGACCCCCAGGTCCCTCCTAAGCCCTGAGGCTGCCTCAGAGAGGAGGGGCAGTGAGGGCAGCCCAGGGGTGCCCCGCTGGGGTCCCCTCCAGCTCTGGGATGCAGGCCCCTTTATCAAAAAGACTTTCACTCCCAAAGCAAGGCAGGATCAAGTCACCTAGAGCCTGCCCGCCCCACCCCAATGGGGGCCGTGCAGCGGTGAGGCAGGCGCTCTCGGCCCCAACGGCCCTCTAGCTGCTGACCCCAGGACCGGGCCGCGGCCGCGACCCGAGGGGCCACGGGCTCCGTGGTCTTTAAGGAGAGTGTGCTCAGCTAAGTCATGGTCCCCAAAGAGGTCTTCGTCTTAACCCGAAATGACAACAGGGACCCTGCAGGCGGGCTGAAGGCGAGGCCTGTGCGGTGGGGATTACCCCGCAGGAGAACCCAGGTGGCCCAGAGTCACCGCGCGGTCCTCGCACGGGGACGGGAGGAGGGTCAGAGGAAGAGATGGGAAGAGGCCGCCCGCTGCCTTTGCAGACGAGGGGCCGCCAGCCAAGGGCTGCGGCGCTGGGGAGCCGGGAAAGGCCGAGGTTCCCCCGGGGCCTCCAGGAGGAGCCCGCCTGCCCCCCCGCCCCGCCTCTGGCCCACGGTGGACCCCCGACCTCCGGAACTGTACAGGGCCAGACCTGGGCGGCGGCGGCCCTTTGTCACAGTGGCCGCAGGAACCAGACACAGAGCATGTCGCTCTGCTTCCTGGAGTCCGGTCCGAGGCCGCGAGTCAGGGCTCAGACCGCAGGGCTGGACTGGCCAGCCCGGCCCAGGCTCCCGCAGGGGGTCTGCTATCCCGGGGGGCGGCTGCTCCCCGGGCTCCAGAAGCTGCGCTGCCCTGGGTCCCGCCGCAGGCTCGCCCTCGCCGCACGAGGTGAGCCCTGGGGCGCCCCAACCTGGCATTGGCACACGAGACGCTGAAACGACAGCCGCGCTGTCCCGGCAACACAGCGGCAGCGTGGGCCCCCAGGCCCCTCCTCCCCCACGCTTCCCGAGACTCGGGAGGAAACCCACCCGTGCAGGCGCAGCGCCCAGCCCCGGGCAAGCTCGTTCGGCCCTGTGTCCCCGGGTGCAGCCGCCGTGCCCCCAGGCCACTGAAGTCTCGGACGCTGGCGGCAACCGAGTCCTGAGTGGGGCTACTTCAAGGAACTGTCAGGCCAGGGCTCGGCAGGAAAATCCCATGGTCCTTCACTGCCCTCGGCTGAGATGTGTGACTGGGGGCTTTGGCCACCCCCAAACAGGCCACACACACTGCAACAGGGCGACTTCTCTGTGCTGAGGCTGGGCTGGGTCCCCGGGGGGGCCGGCGGGCCCTGTGGTGTCTGCTGAGCTGGCACATGGTGGTGCTGTGGGGAGCCCATCCTGAGGCTGTCGGAGGCCTGTGGGGCCTCTGTCAATTGTCACCCCATCACACAGGCTCCTGGCCCAGAACCACGTGGCCAGGGTCAAACCAACTGCCCCAACAGAAACCACCCAAAACAAGCCCCCTCTGAAGCCCCTGCCCTACTTGCAGGGAGACAGAGCCCTCCGGATCCTGCTGGAGCTCCACCCAGCGGCCGTCCGGTCCCGCTCCCCTCAACCTGCCACAGGCCGTCGGCCCCGGAGCGCGCACCCCGCGCCATCCGGGGGCCCGCCCCTCTCCCCTCCGCAAGCCCCAGCAGGCCTCCGACCAGGGCCTCCCGGCTCCCCGGAGCCCTGCCCCACCCGCAGAGTCTGGATGCTGCACGGTCTCGCGGCACTCAGTGCCACCCGTCGCGGCGCGGCGGCATTGGCCTGGCCTTGGGCACCTCTTGGGGACCGAGCCTGGGCGCCAGCTGGCCAAGCGACAAAGCCAGGAGAGGCAGGAGCCTGCCACCGTCGGGGGCCTGCAGCTCCGGGCGGCAGGGACTGGCCCGGGGACAGCTGAGCAGTGACCATGGCTCCGAGGACACCGGGGGCCACTGCCCACAGCCACACGAGGGCCCCGGAAGGGCCTGCTGCCCCGAGGCACCCAGGCGATGACTCGCTGGGCGCCCGGCCCGACACCCCCACCCGAGTACCTGGCTCCGAGCTCCCAGGAGCCTCCTGCCGCGAGGCTGGCTGGCAGGGGTACCAGGTCCGAACTCTGGGGACAGGGCAGGGTGTACCCGCTTCCCCTGGGCTGCTGGGACCCCCTCCGCAGACCACGCGCCCAAGGCTTGGGGATGGGGGGCAGGAGAAAGGACAGCACCTGCCACGTGCACGTGACTCCCAAGGGGCCCAGGATCCGAGGACCCCGGAAGGGGAGGTCTTGCTCAAGGGGGCCAGGGGCCCCTCCCTTGAGCCTGCATCTGGCTTGACCCCCGGAGCTGCCAGTGCTGGGCCCACCAGCAGAGGCTGGGGAATGTTTTTCTTCCCTCTGGTCAAGCGACCACCCTGCTGTCAGCGGCCCCCACAGCCGGCCCAGGAAGGGACGCGATATCTGAAGACTCAGCGCTCGGTGGACGCTGCCCCCGCCCCCTCCCTCCAGCCTCCAGGTTGTCAGCAAACGGCGCAAACTTTAAAAAGAGGAAACAAAGGACACGCACGGCGGAGCAGGGCACCCAGTCTCACCACCCGCGCAGAGCCCGCCGGCGCCCACCTGGTCTCCCGTCACCGGCGCTCAGGGCGTAGCCGACCTGGCCCAGGTGGCACGGGTAGCAGCCCCTCCAGAGGTAGCGGTAGTGCGTGCCCGCGACGCGCGCCAGGCCCCCCAAAAGCCCGAGGCACCAGAGCGCGGCCAGACGGCTGCGGCTCCAGGACGCCTCCATGGCGACAGCGGCGGGCTCCCGGCTCCCACTCCCGGCCCGGCGGGCACGCACAGGCGGCCGCCGCTGGGCTGTGCTCGGCTGCGCTCGGCTGTGCTCGGCGCCACCGCCGCCGCCGCCACCGCCGCCGCCGCCGCCGCCGGGAGTTGCTCCCGCCCAGCCGTCCTGCCCGTCGCCTTTAAGTTCTCAGCTTTCCCTCCGCCCCCCGCAGGTAAAGGCCAAATCCTCGACCGGAGGGCCCGCCCCCGGTTCCGCCCCCGGCCCGCCCCCGCCCCCCACAGCCGCGCGGTTTCCCCTCGCGCGCTGCCGCCAGGCGCATTCCTCCGCAGGGTGCCCCGACCCGTGGGCGCACACACAGGCAGCCCCGCGCGCACACTCAGACCCACGTGCACAAACACAGGCCCACGTGTGCAAACATGCACACGAGACACGCACAGAACCAACCGTGCAGACAGGCACATCCATACACAAACGTGACTTCCTAGAGCCAACAAGGAAAAGAAACCAAAGCAGAGAAGCAGCTTGGGGCTTCGTGGAGACGGTGGGTGGGCTTTCCTTGCGCCCCGTTTGCAAGGGTTGGAAGCGGCAGGCCCTTTGGGACTGACCCACCCAAGTGGAGCCCCGGGAGGTGGAGATGCCAGTGGGGGCCAGGGCTGACCTTCCGGGGACAGGGATGGCTGCTTGGGGCCCCAGCCCCCAGCAGCCAGCACAGGGCGGGGCTGGGGTGGAGCAGGCGCAGCTGGGGGCGGCAGAGGTGGCCCCCGGCCCCTGAAAGGCCAGACGGTCGGAACGAGCGCCAGGTCCTTCCCCCCTCAGTGCCTTCGACTGGCCCGTGGGCAGGGGGCCAGGTGAGACCGAGGCACCCGCGCACTCCGGCGGGCACAGGCAAAGGGCGCCACCCGCGCTGGCCTGAGAGGCCCCCTGCCGCCCCACCCTGGGACCCCTCGGCACACAGTGTCTGCATTGCCCGCTCACCGGCCCCACCGGCCCCCCCCTCATTCCTGCCCCGCTCCCCCACCCCCCGCCCCTCACAGACGGGCCACCCTTCACCCTCACTCCGTCCCGAAGGGGCCCCAGAAGCAGGGTGCCCTGGACCTGGGCAGCAGCCAAGGGGACCAGGCCTAACGGAGACCCAGTCCTCCCTCACTGGGCCACCTCCTTCAGGCTCCTCGAGACGAGGGTCCCCCTGGATCCCTGTGTCTCCCTGTGGGCGGGCTCTGGGTGGGCGGGGGGGCAGAGAACCTGCAGGAGCAAGAGCGGTTTGTCCCGCTGGCCCGCTGGCCCTGGCCGCTGTCACCCCTGGACTGTCGGCCTCAGCCCAGCGCGGGGCTCCTCCAGGCCGGGCAGCCGAGGGCCTCGGCATCTGAGCGGGACCCTGGGCAAAGGGCTCTAGGAAGCTCTGGCGTCAGACCTCGGCCCTCGCTCACGCGTGCATTCTTGCCTCCCCCTCAGCAAAGGCCTGAGCACCGTTTCGGGGCCAGACACGGTTCTGGGGCGCAGCAATGTCTCCCCACCCAACTGAGGGTTACGTTCGGGACTTGGGGTGCAGGCGGCTCTGAGCCTCCATCCCCCTTAGGCCGGGTGAGCGGGCTGTGGCATGGCTGCGGGGACAGCAGCCCAGCAAGTGCAGAACACGCTGCAGCCAGATGCCGCCCACAGCCACCCGCGGGCTCCCGCGGTGCCGCCAGGCGCGCCCAGGCCGGTGGCTGTGGGGTCTGGAAGCTGTTGGGGAAATGCCTTCTGATGCAGAAACACGCGGAATGTCTGTGTCAGCAGAAGGGGCTGCCCCCCGGCCCCCGCCAGGCTGGCCCCCCCTCCTCTTCCAGCTCAGGGGCCGAGGGCCCTTCTGCCAGGACCCAGGCTGGGCGAGGGCCCATGTGGCCCCCCAGGCTCCACGTCCCCTGCTCAGCGCCGGGCCTGTCCCCCCGCAGGCCCCCGACAGCGCAACTCCAGGGCAGAACTGCTGTGTCTCGGGGCCCGTCGGGCCAGGAGTCGGAACTGGGCAGAGCCCGCCCTCCTTGTGGCTTCTGTTCCTTCTGTCCCTTCTGCCCCTCAGTGCTCACAGGCACCTGCTCCAAGAAGGAGCCGCGATGCTCCTTACCGCTGCCCCCTCCCACTGAAGCCGGCAGGGTCACGTGACTGGTTTCGGGGCAGGTAGCTGAGCCTTGAAAGCCGAGGAAGCGGCGTGGCTACCGTCCGCGATCTTCAGGGGCAGGGCTACAAGCAGGACAGGCCAGCGTCAGGCAGCCCCCGCAGGCCACCCAGTCGCCCAGAGAGAGGCCGGGAAGGGGCTGGAGGGAGGCTCCTGTCGATCAGGCCTCTCCTCACTGTACCATGGGGGCCCCAAGGCCTCTGAACCCTAAGCCCTCTTCGCCGCCTCTGGTCCCCAGGTGACAGTGCCTTGCCTGGCCGTTTCCACCACTGATGTTCCGAGTCCAGCCCAGAGCAGGGCTCGGTTTTCAACCTGGGGTTGCGCACGGCCAACCCGGCCTCCGCGGAGACCAAGTGGCCCGGCCCCCAGAGCGGCCCTCCTGCCCGTGCCAGGGCAGCCGCCTCGGGAGCCAAGGGCCAGGCCTGGCCTCCAGGGCCACGCCGCGTCAGCCTCATGGTAAACCCATTACGCGCCTCAGCTCCTCACCAAGCCGAAGGAAGGAAAATGAAAACCACGTCGTTTCCGAGAGCCCCGCGGCCATCCCTGCCTGCCCAGCCCTCGGCGGGGCCTGGTGGAAACCGGGGAGGTGCTCCCAGTCAGTCACACACGCGCCCCCGGGAGAGCCCGAGGTAGGGCCGCCTCCGCACACGAGCCCTTCCGTGGAGACAGCGGCTGGCGGCGTCCAGAGCCCGGACCCGGCCAGAAAGCCCGTGGCCTGGTCTGCCGGGGGAGACGCTGCCACGGGCCAGGCCCAGAGCCAAGCTGGCGGCGTCCCGAGCACGTGTGCGCCTGTGTGCGCGTGTGACGAGGCCCTCTCTGTGGCTCCCTGGGGCCTGGCCCCCACCACGGATCTGCACGGCCCCCGCCGCGGGCACGGCCACCGAGACCTAGCCTTCACAGGAGGCCTCCAAGCGGCCAGGTGGCCGTGGCCGCCGAGGGACACGCCGACAGCTCTGGGCTCGCGCTGCACCCAGAGGGGCGGAGGTGGCGGGCGGGGGGGCGACGGGAGGGTCTCTGGAGGAGGTGGGCCCGAGCTGGCCTTTGGACGAGTAGAAGGGAGGCGAAGGTGGCGAAGACTGGCTGGCCAGAGCATACCTGGGGCCAGCGGGGGTTGCCGGTGCACAGGCGGGGAAGGCCAGGGAGGGGTGGGGGCCAGGAGGGGCGACCGGCCGACACCATGGGCCTGGGCCCTGGCTGACACCCAACCCAGCAGAAGGACCAAGCAGACGAACCCCCGAGCACAGCACTAGGCCCGCTCCCCGCAACCCCCACGGCCCGCCGGACCCCCTTGGCCACCCTCCCGCCGCCCGCTCCACCTGAAGGCCGAGCCCGGTCGCAGGACACTAGCCTGCCAGCGCTGACACTCCCTCCCCAGGTGCCCGAGCCCGGAACAAGCAGGGCTGGCCACCCATGCCACCCCGCAGGTCCCCAAGGCCCCCTGCTGCCCAGGCTGAGCTCAGGGGCAGCTGCCTCCCACGTAAAGTGCAGAGAGGCCACTTCTAAGACCACAGGACTTCCCAGCTCTGCCACAACTCAGCCATCGGCCCCTGCTGCTGAGCATCCCGCCCCCACCTGAAACCCAAGGCACCCACCCCGTGGGCCTTGTTATCACAGGCACCTCGTTTCCTCGCCAGGAGGAATGGCTCGTTCCTCCCTCTGCAGCCTGCTGATCCCCACCCACCCCACCCCCCATCACCCCTCCCCACAACAGAACGGCTATGGCCAGACCCTGGGAGCAATGAGGATCTGAGGGGGCAGAGGCCCAGCCCAGCCCCTCCCCACCTGTCAGGGGAGCCTGGGGAAGAGGTGGAGTCACGGGCCTGGCAGGGAAAGCGCAGCTGTCGTGACAGAGGGGACAGAGATGCGACGCAGCCAAGACACACAGACAGCAGGAGAGCCCCACTGGGAGGCCGGCGGCCGGCGGAAGGCGCCCAGTCGGGCTCGGGGATGGGAGCCGGCCTTGCGGACGCACACGTCCTGCTGTGTCACCCACACGCCGGCCTAGGGCTGCAGGGCCGCAACAGGCCGCGGGTGCCCGGAGCCCCGATGCCTGCAGACAGCCCACCTGGGGGTCTCCTCCTGGGAGCCTGCCCGGCGCCGGGCCTGGGAGGTCACGGCGGGCCCGGGGGCAGGCCTCTTGTCTCTGTCACCGGCTGGCTCTGCTGCTGACGCTGAAAGCTCTCGTTATTATTGTTCCTGCCTTGGCCTGAACTGAGAACATACCTGCCAGACTCTGCTCACTAGAGCAATGAACTCAGCCAGAGGCAGGAAATGAAAGCTTTTCACTCTCAGCACCTCCGATCCGGGAGGCCCCGCCGCAGACGCCGCGTCGGAAACCTCGCCATCCTGCCTGGAAGGCGGCGGAGGACGGCCAGCCGGAGGACCTGGCCTGGGGAGGCCCAGTCGGGACCTTCTTGGGAACAAGACGTGAGCTCTGCCCCCACAAGGCCCGAGTTCAGGCTGGGCCCCTGGCACTCCGCGAGCCTCCCGGGCCACCTCTCTGGCCTCGGTCAGAGGCGAAGCGGGGGACCCCTAGCCCCACCGTGGGCACCACTTGAGGGCCCCTGGCAGCTTCCCTCGCCGTCCACCGCGCCCCCCCACCGCCGCCGCCAGCCCGGCACCACAGGACTGCACAGCTGGCTCCGGTCAGCTCACAGCCCTCCCGACCCGCCGGAGCCCGCAGCGGCCTTATCAAGGCTTGTCACTTCCCACGTTCCTGCTTCCCCCCAGGGACCCACAGACCTGGCAGCTCCCTCCTTCCTGCTGGGCCCAAGGGTGTGATAGGAGCACTTGTCAGTCCCCGCTGCCTTCCCCACGGATGGAGACAAGGCTGGAGCCCCATCAGCCGGGACTGGCGGGGGCGGGCCCAGCCGGCAGCAAGAGGCTCCCCCGGCGCGGGAATGCTGAGCACATGCACCTTGCAGAAGGCCTCCTTGGCCCTTGGGGAGGGAGGCGTCCCAGGACAGGACCGCAGCCCCGCCTGCCTAGAGCAGACGGCAAAGCCGGGCCTGCGGGGCTGAGGGTCCAGGACCCTGCTGCTGTCTCCAGGCCTCGGCCCCACGGCCTTCGCACATGCCCCCATGAAGACCCCAGCCTGCCCTAGACACCGCTGCAGCCCAGGAGCAGCAGGGGGTAGTGATGCCGAGCCCCCCAGGAAAGCGAGGGCTGTCTTTGTGTTAGGCTGAGAACGGCGTCACCGGGCAGAAGCCACTCCCTGGGCAGCCCCCGCCCGGCAGCCCCCCCACTGCCAGGCAGCCCCCGCCGCTTTCCCAGGCCCCTCCCCCCATTCCCGAAGGAGCGCCCAGCAGGGTCTCAGGCAGACTCCCATCCCTGGCGTGGGAAGGCAGGCCTAGACCCCGGCGGTCCACCCATGCCTGGAGGTGCCTCTATGCCTGGCAGCCACCCCATGGAGAGGGACACCCCGATTTTCTCCAGACCAGACGGCAGCATTAGCTTCTCCCGAGGAAGGGGACTGAAACTCCTCCCCTCCACAACGGCACGTGGTCTGCGGGCCAAACTGACCAGCCCGTGTAAGGACTGCAGCAGCCAACTCAGACCGGCGCTCACAGGGCAGCGGTCCGCACCTGCCGGCTTGGAGGGACGAGGCAGGTGAGGAGCAAGGGGAACCTGGGGTGGTATGGGGACCTGCCAGGGTCCCACAGCCTGATGGAGGTCTGCCTTCCTGGGCCTGGTTAGGGCCCTGGACTCCCCGGCCCTGTGACCCCCAGACCTGGAGGTAGCTGCCCTCCCCGGGGCCTGGTCCTTGAGGACCGTGGTCAGGAGAAGACAGTGCATTCGGAGAGCAAGGCCAGGCCCCAAGGCCAAGGCGGGGGATGGTCGGGCGGGGTCAGCCTTCTCTCCACCCTGTGCCCCCCCAAAAGCAGGCTGGGGCCTGAGAGCCTGCTGCGGGCGCTGGGCCGTGGGCTTTTCCCTCCAGGCCCCCCCAGGGCCCTGAGACACAAGAGTGCTGTTTCTTCCATTTTCCAGATGAAGAGACGGCAGTTCAGAGCTAGTCATCCCAGGGGCTCCAGGACACCAAGGTCTGGCCCTGCAGCGGCCAGGCCCCCCGCCGGGGGGACATGGGGAGCGGGGCATGGGGGGGAGCTTCGCGGGGGAGCCCCAGGACGCGCCGCCCACTGTGAACCACAGGCCCGAGCCCGCCTCGGGGGCCCTCGCAGGGAGCTGCAGCCGCGCCCGGGAGAGGCTGCGCCCCGCCTGCGGCCGTCCGGCGGAGCGAGCACACGGCTCCCGCTCCAGGCCCGTCTCCCAGAACATGACACACACACACCAGCCTGGCGGCGCGCCGGGCGCGTGGGCCAAGGCACCCTCTGGCCAGGCCCCCGCGCCAGCGCCCAGGTTTTACGGCCTGGATTCATCACCCTGAGCGGGGTCTGGGCTGACCCCACTGTCGACCCCGTGCGCCGCCCTCCCCACCGAGCGAGCGGGAGATCGAGCGAGCGAGCGAGCGTCGTCCCTCGTGGCCACAGCTTGATTTCCTGTTGGCTCCGCTCGCACATGGCCAGCGGCCGCCCCGTGAGCCCCGCTCGGTTCCAGGGGAGGCTGGGCTTGCAGGGAGACAGAGAAAACACAGCAGGCGCTTGGCTGCCAGCAGAGCGCCGGCGGCCACGCGGGGACTCACAGCCTGGGCCATCCCAAACACGCAGAGCCGGGTCAGCCAGCGCCGCGCTAGGCGGGGGCAGGGGCGGGGGCAGGGGCGGGGCCGAGGCCTCCGAAACGGGGGCGGGGCCGAGGGCGGGGCCGGGCCCTCGAAGCGTAAGCTGGTCCCCTGCCTTTCCCTCCAGTGTGAACTCTTCCTGGGGCAGCTCACCCACATCCCGCCGCCGTCAGCCAGCTCTGGGGGCGGGGGGCAACTCTGCCTGGCCTCGGGGACCATCTGGGCTACGGGATTGCGACCCCTCCTAGAGGGACGCGGTGCAGGCCAATTTGCCCACCTGTGCCGGTCGGGGCGCTGTGGGCTTGCCCTCCCAGACCGGCAGACACGTGGCCGGCCAGCACTGGGAGCCCAGCGCACAAGTCAGAAGACCGCCCCCACTAGCAGCCCAGCACACCCCCCAGGGCCTCCTGGGAGAGCTGTGGTCCCAGACCCCCACGAGGGGGGGGTCAGGTTCTGAGCAGGGCCTGGGGGCTGGGGAACGAAAGGGAAACCTGTGGCCAGCCCACGAGGTCGGCCGTGTGCCCGCGGCCGCTGGGACCCGGACGGGGTCCTCCGAGGACGCCTTCGGTGGGTCGCTGCCCAGGAGAACGCAGAGGGGAGGCTCACGTCACGGGCTGTCCTGTCTGACAGCGTGGCCACCCTGGGCCAAGGGGAGGGGCGTCTGACACTCACAGGGACCCTGCCTTGGGCCTGCCGTGGCCTAGGCCCCCGGTTCATTGCCTGCCCCAGCATGGTCCCCTACCTTAGAAGGCACTGGTTTGGGGGGGCACTGGCAGCAGGGGAACTCCCCCTTCCCCAGGGCCTAGGGAGGGGTGCTCCTCCCCTCTGCCCAATGCCCCTGCCCCAGCTGGGCCCTGGGGTCGGGACTGAGCGCCTCGGCGGGTTCCACCATCCCAACAGGGCTCAGTGAACAGAGGGGAGAAACCACGGCCAAAGCCGCAGCTCAGGTGGGCGATGCAGAGCCGCCTCCCTCGTCACCAAGCCCTGCACCCTGCACCCCTCCATGGGCACGGGGTCCCCATGTGCTGGGGCTTGAGCAAGGGGTCACAAAGGCCGCCCGACTGCCTTGCCCCCACCCCAGCCCCAGCCCCAGCCCCTGCTGCTACAGAGACCTCAGGCAGGCGAGCAGCATTTGTAGAACATCTTGGCCAAGCAGCCCCCACTCCCAGACTCCAGTCCAGCGGGCGGTCCCCCGCCAGCCTCCGGCAGACGGCTCGCAGCTGGTGCCGCGCAGCTGGAGGTGGCTCGTTTTGGGAAAGCAGGTTTTGGGAGGGGAGAGGAGAGCGATCGTCTGATGCACCGAGGGAAAGCAGGCGCCCGCGGGCCCGAACCGGGACGCGCCGGTCAGCGGGCACCAGGCAGGGGCTGGAGCAGGTGAAGGAGCGTTAGGGGGACGTCCCACCTCGGCCCTAATCTGTTCCCCCACCTTCTTTCCTTCTCTCCACTCGGGAATTTTCTGTCTGTTCTTGATTTTGCCGACACCCTCCCAAGCAGCGGCAGGGCTGGGCCCAGAGCAGGCGGGCGCTTCCGGAGCTGCCAGGGCTGCGGGGAACCCTGGCCAGAGCACGGTGCCCACGGTGCCCAGGCGCACGCCCGGCACCCGGCTGCACTCCACCCTCACGGGCCCGCGTGTGGCCACCGGGCCGCCCACCCACCCTCTCCCTCTGCCATCCCCCCGGGGCCGAGCAGCTGCGCACTCCTGCGCAGCCCTACCCATGTCAGGTCTCCGAGGCCCCCACCCCACTTCCGGAGAGGCGTTTGGGCCCCTAATGGTGCCGGAGGTGAGAGGGGCAGGGAGGGCCCCGAGGACTGGGCGCCACTCAGGCCCCGCGTGGCCACCTCGGAGGAGCCGGGGCGGGAGGTGGGCGCAGGCCTCCCTCAGCAGGTCCTGCCGCCTCTGCGCAGCTGGCGGCCAGCGGGGTAGCAGCAACAGCCCTCACAGCCCCCACTGCCGGCGGGGCACTCGTTCACGTCTGCGAGGGGGAGAAGCAGTGAGCACGCGGGGGGGCCTCCCAGACCCCGCGCCACAAGCGGACACCGTCCGGCAGAGACGGGCGAGGCTCATCCCTCCAGGCAAGTCCCGCGAGGGGGACCGACGTGTAAAGCCAGTGGCAGCAGAGCCATGCCGTCACCGGATCCCTCCCTGACCCCGGGACAAGTGGCCACTGGGCAGCCTTCACATGCCACTTGACTGGCCCGGGAGTGGGCCCCTTGTGAGTCCATGAGAACACCTGTGTGCGGGTCCGCTCCAGCTGCCAGCTTGCAGGGGACGCCAGGCCTCCCCCGGCGCCAAGGCGAGGGGGAGGCCTGCCACCCTGGGCTCTGCCCCCGAGGACGCAGCAGGCAGGGTGACCCTGAGCCCCAGCGCCCTGTCCTGCTCCGGCCCTCCTAGCCACCGGCCTGTGGGAGCCTCGCCCGGGCAGGGGCGTCACGGCCCCTCCACCCCGACCCCAGGCAATGCCCTGCCTTGTCTCCTCGGTGGCCTCCAGCAAGCGTGGGTGATGGGGGGGCCAGGCGCCTCCGCCCTCCTCCCGCCCTGGCCGGGCTGCCCACCCCAGGTCCGGGAGGAGCTCTGCCCCCCATCCTCCTGGCCCCCCAAGGCCAAAGGCAGGGCTCCCTGACATCGTGGGGAATGTGGCCTGGAAGCAAGTGCAGAGCAAGCGGGGCCCCCAACACGCAGCAGGCTGGGGACAGCCAGGTGCCAGCACAGGCCACATGCAGGCACGGGAGGTCAGACTGCCCCGGCCACCCAAGGAGCAGGCCCCGGGGCTGACAGACGACCCCTGCTGCTGTTCCCGGGGCCCCCAGGAACAGCTTCGGCGCCCACTCCTGTACTACCTAGGGCGGGTCCCTAGAAGACTCCGAGGCAGGCTCGGGGTGTGGGGCGGCCTCGGTCCCACGAGAACGGCTGCGGCCGGAAGCCCCTGGGGACTGCTGGAATGCAAACTTCAGCCGGGCCTGCCAAGGCTCACGACGGGAATTTTCTGGGAATTCCTAGCAAGATATGTGGGGCCAGACAGAGGTCGGCCCAGCGCAGAGGTCAGAGCCCAGGGTCTCCCTGTGAGGTCCGGCCTGGGGAGGCAGCATGAGGCCAGGCCCGGGGGCGAGGAGCGGCTGGTGTGAGGTGCACCCCGAAGCCGCTGGCCTGGCCTGGAACCGGGGCCACTCTGCAGGCTGCCACGGGGGCGGGCCCTCAGACCACGTGAGCACTCTCCCAGCTGCCTGGGCCTGGAGGCCGCCCACCATGGTCCATAGCCCCGCCCCCGGCCCCGGGACTCCAGGGTGCCGACGGCCGCAGGTCCCCCAGACGGTCCCCTCTGCGCCCCAGCGGGCCGGCCCTGGGTGACCTGCGTCCACCAACAGCCAGACGGCGCCACCCTCCACGTGGGTGCCGGGCCCACTGATCTGGGCCAGCCTCACACTCCGGGCCCCCAGGAGAGAGGCAGAGGCGGCGGACGACCAGCGCGCCGCGGACTGCTCCCCAGGCTGTGGCGGCCCAGGCCGAGGAGATGACCCCGGCCAGGCCCAGGGAGGGGCATGGTGGGTGCAGCAGGCCCCCTCTGCTGAGCACCTGCTGTATATGCAGCTGGCAGGCTGGGCACACAGGCACAAGGACCCTCCTGCCCTGGGCAGTGGGTGGTGTAGCCGGGAGGGGACCACCGGGGGGAGGGGTCAGGCACTGCGATTCAGGCTCTAAGCCTCATGCTCAGCGGGAGCAGGGGCGGGGGCGCCTGATCACCTGTTTCCTCGCCCCCCAGCACGCCCCCCTTTGAGGCCTCCTTGTCATTCCCCAGCACCTACGACAACTGAGGGCTGCGTGCCGCCGCCTCCAGACGCCAGCCTGGGGGGCAGATTCTTAACCTTCTGTCCACTGTTGTAACAAGCACAGGACAGCGAGCACCAGGTCCCCCACGTTGCAGCCACCCAGGCTCCGCTGAACGAATTTGTCAGCACAGGTGCCCGTGGGGGCCCCTCGGTGCCTGGGGGACCAGATGGGACAGAACCTCCTGTGCACCCCAAACCCGCTGAACCGCACCCACCTGCAGATGACCAGTACTCCCTCTGAGCGGGTGGGGGCGGCGGGGACTCTGCGGGTGCCCGAAGGTGCTCGGCAGCCTTGCTGAGGGCGGGCCTAACAGCGGCCCCTCCTTGGCCCTCCTCAGGGGAGGGGCTGCCACAGCCCAGCGGCCAGGCCTGGACTGGCGTCCCCAGGCCGAGCTCGGGCTGAGCCCACGCGGGGAGGGGCCCGGGAAGCAGAGACCAGCAGCAGCTTCTCCCCAGAGCCCGGTCTTTGCTTCCCGCCCGGGCCCAAGGCGTCCAGAGCCCCAGGTCCAGGAGCGAGGGCTGGGGCCGCCGAGGGCTGCTGGGAGCGGGTCCCGCGACACACTGGCCCCGACCGGCAGGCTGTGGCCCCCCGCTGGTGGGTTGCTTCCGGAATCATCCATCAGGTCACCAGTGGGGCCGGCACGGACACCCCAGAGCGACCTCCCAGCGGTTTCTCTGACGCCAGCCCCGCTCCCCGGCCACGCCCCCAGGTCGCCGGCCCGTGGGACACCTTGCCAGCAGACACTCCCCACCCTGAGCTGGAGCCGGGCCGCCGGGCCGCAGCTGGGGGGTGCTCTGCTCAAAGAGAGTCAGCAAGTGCTCACGGGACAGGCGTCCTGGGACCCCAGCCTCGTAACCGCCTGCCCGGGAGCACCCCCGACCCGTGGGAGTGCGGCGTGTCCAATGGTCCCAGGACCCACCCAAGGCGGCACTGTCCCCATTTTCTGGAGGGAACACGTTCCGCAGCAGGGAATGGCCTCTGGCCCCCGGGACCCTGGGGTGCAGGCGCTAACGCTCAAAGGCTGGCCCTCGCTCCTCACTCCCTGGCTCCCCTCTGCGGGTGCTGGCAGAAGCCGTGCGGAGCCAAAGCCGGGTGATAGGCCGCGAGGGGGAGCCTGGCCCCCAGCCCTGTCCACTCCAGCAGCAGGAAGCAACGCCTCCCTGAGCCTGTCAAACACAGAGCCACCGCGCGACCCCGCAAGTCCACCGAGGGCGCCTCCTCGGAGCTGCGAACGGGCTCAGGTGGACCCCGGCCGCGGAGGTTCGCCGTCGCCAGCGGCGGGCACCACTCGAACGCTGGCATTGGACGTGCGGATCAACCCCTGAGACCCCACTGCACGGCAGCCGGTGGTCCGGCCGCTGGGAGGATCGAAGGGCACCGGCGCAGGAGCCTCAGAGAGAGGGGCGGCCAGGAGAGGCCCCACACAGCGACCCGCTGGATAGAAACGTCCAGAGCGGGCGAGTGCACAGAGACGGGACCTGGTCCAGGGCTGCCGGGGGCGGAGGGATTGGGGGCAGAGGTGGGGGGGGAAGGAGGGGGGCCAATGATGGGGTTCGGGGTTCCCTCCAGGGAGAAGGTTCTGGAAGGTGGTGGTTGCACAACACGGTGAATGTTCTAAATGCCACTGAATCATTCATCTGGAAGAGGTCGATTCTGCGCTGGGCTGGGGTAGACGGGGACCCCCGGTCTGGGGGCGGCAGGAGCAGGAGGTGGCACAGCGCCCCTCTGTGGGTGCGGGGGGCCCGGGCCCCGGCCCGGCTGCCATGCCTCGGAGCCGCGGCCCCCCCACCCAGGCAGCCCTGCCCCCACCCCCGCTCTGCTTCCTCATCCTCTCTCCGCTGGCCCCTGACGCCCAGGCCCCAGCATGCGGGACGCGCGGCGACCTCAGTTTCCGGGCCAGGACCCAGCCCGCCCCACCCTCTCGGCCCAGGCTGCTCCGGGTGACCCGGTGGCCCGGCCACCCTGGGATCCCCGGCAGGGCCCTGCACTGTCCCCGGCTGCTGGCGGGGCCACAGCTCAACTGTCCCGTGTCCCCTGAGCACAGCGCATCCCTGCCTGGGAGCCTGTAGGTAGAGGTGGCGGGGGAGCCACGGGAGCACGGCCGGGGTCCCCCACCTGCCCGTCAGGAGGAGGAACCCGTGAGGGTGGGGAAGGTTCGCCTGAGGAATGCAGGCTGAGGCCACCCTGAGGGAGGTTGCCCCGCCTGGTGGGCAGGGGTACCGCCAGGCCTTGGCCCACCGGGCCTATGGGGCAGTGACCCTTCGCCACCCGCCCTCCCAGGCTACGGCTGCCTGTCCGGACAGGATGTCCCAGGCCCTGCCCACGGAGGAGCCAGGAGCCCTCCCTGCCTACAGCCGGGTGCCACCCAGAGGGGCCGGGGCTGCGCCCTGTGTGTCCGCGGGGGGGCGCAGGGAGCCAGCGGCTGGGGGCGGGTGTGTTGGAGCTGCAGGCGTGGGGGGCTGGCCTCGCGCTGGGGCTCCACCAGGGCCCTGGGCCGTCCTGGCCTGGAAAGGCACCTCCCAAGGTGGGGCGGGCCGCCCCTCCCACTCCGTGCCTGGCTTAAGGACAGGACGGCCGAGGCCTGGGAAGAGGAGTGTGGGATCACACGGCAGCGGTGCGGGGAACCCCCTCCTGGGCAGGAGGCGGCGGGCTGCCTGCCTATCTCCCCAGGAATGTCCCGCCCCCGGAGCCTGCGGCCCCTCCTCCCCTCGGGGGCAGCGGGACACCTGGGCCCCGTGGGAGCCTGCTCTGCGGCCGACATGCCTGCTCAGCGCCCCGGCCAGCACAGGTGGGGACCTGCCCCTGGAGCCCGCTCAGCCCCACCCGAGTCCCCCCACACACCCCGCTGCATGTCGTGGGCGGGGCCTCCAGCCCCAAGGTAAGACAAGGCTCCTGTGGGGGCTCCCAGCCAGCCCTGGGGGGCAGACACCATGGGGGCCAAGCAAGCGGGGGAGGCACTGGGCTGGGAGCTCTGTGGGTCAGGCATGTGGCCCCGGGTGGCCGCCTGGGAAGGCCAGGCAGGGCCAAAGAGGAGGGGCGGGGCCCGCGCAGGCGAGGTCCCGGGCTCCTGGTCAGGGCAGAGGTGCAGAAGGGCCTTGGCTTTGACCCAGCGGAGTGGGACATTCACCGAGTCAGGCAAGGGGCCCC